ACTGATCTCAGGCTCAGGGGGAGAGAGGTCCAGAGTCTGGGGGCCACAGCAGCAGATGATTTGTCACCTTTGACCTTTAGCCTGGTGCTGCACAACCAGTAGGCTTTGGTCACTGGACCTCAGGGACCTGCTGGGGGTGTAGGGACTAAGAAGATCACCAATGTAAGATGGTGCTTGTCCATGTAAGGCTCTATAGACCAGAACCAGGATCTAGAAATGAACCCTGAAGTTGACTGGCAGCCAGTGAAGCTGGAGGAGAAGCGGGGTGATGTGGGTGTGTTTGGAGGACTTGGTCAGAAGCCGAGCACAGGCGTTCTGAACCACCTGTAGACGGTTCAGGGAGGTTCTGCTCAGACACGTGAAAAGAGAGTTACAGTAGTCTAAGCGTGAGGAGATGAAGGTGTGGAGAACTGTCTCAAGTTCAGAGCGGGACAGAACGGGACTCAGCTTAGCAACGTTCCTGAGGTGGAAGAAGGAAGAGCCAACAAGAGAACTGACATGAGAATCCAGGGTGAGAGCTGGGTCAAAGGTGACTTTTGGTGACTTACTCAAAAACAGAAGCAATCGTTTCACTTGTTTCAGAAACTAAAACGTTAAAATCAGCTTCATTCACGGTTTCAAATGGAAAAGCACCGATTCTGGTTTGGAGGAATGATACCAACGCTGATTTTTGGAAGGCTCTGACCCGCCCGTACATCACGTTGGTCGCCGGTAATTAGGAACGATTTCCAGTTTCAGGCACTTCACTAAAAACCCTGAAAATACAAGATTAAAATTCCAAGATTTTCAAGGATTTCAAGCACCCATAAAAACCTGCACAACGTCTCCGACTGTAAAACATGTTACTAGTAAATATAAAACCCAGGAAGGTTTAAACGTTCTTCATCGCATCTTTGTCAGATTAATGTTGTAATTTCTGTTGGCTCTGCTCTCAGCTGTTCTCTCTACATCAGCTTCAGGTCCACATCAGGATCCCGCTGGATTTCTGTAAACGTGAAACATCCCAGAGATCACCTGAAGCACCTGGCCGGTCAGCAGCGTCCCTCAGGAAACCTTCCAGACGTGGCCATCAGATAAAGGAAGAACTCCGCTCTTCTGCTGAAGGTGGATGTGGAACTTCCTCTCACAAACAGCTGCTGCTCACTTTCATCCGAGGACTTCTCGTTTTGCCCCCAAAAATGGTCAGAATCTGTTTACATAAATAAAATCAGCCTCCGCAGGAGTCCTTCAGTACTCGGAGACGCCTGATTGGTTTAATCCAGAACCATAAAGTCAGTTTTTCAGGGATCTGCAGCTACAAAGTGTCCAGAAACGTCAGAGGCTTTCAAACACCGATGAACATAAAACAGTTCTTCAGAGATCAGCTGACCCTGCAACTCATTTTGGTTCAGTTAAAATCCCAGATTAAATCAGATTAGAACTTGTGCCTCAAGTTGTGCTGATTTACTCTCTCGTCTCGTCTTCCTCCGCTTATCCGGGTCCGGGTCGCGGGGGCAGCATCCCAACTAGGGAGCTCCAGGCCGTCCTCTCCCCGGCCTTGTCCACCAGCTCCTCCGGCAGGACCCCAAGGCGTTCCCGGACCAGATTGGAGATGTAACTTCTCCAACGTGTCCTGGGTCGACCCGGGGGCCTTCTGCCGGCAGGACATGCCCGAAACACCTCCCCAGGGAGGCGTCCAGGAGGCATCCTGACCAGATGCCCAAACCACCTCAACTGGCTCCTTTCGATCCGGAGGAGCAGCGGTTCTACTCCGAGTCCCTCCCGAATGTCCGAGCTCCTCACCCTATCTCTAAGGCTGAGCCCGGCCACCCTACGGAGGAAACTCATTTCGGCCGCTTGTATCCGCGATCTCGTTCTTTCGGTCATTACCCAAAGCTCATGACCATAGGTGAGGATTGGGACGTAGATCGACCGGTAAATCGAGAGCCTGGCTTTCTGGCTCAGCTCCCTCTTCCCCACGACAGATCGGCTCAGCGTCCGCATCACTGCAGACGCCGAACCAATCCGCCTGTCGATCTCCCGATCCCTCCTACCCTCACTCGTGAACAAGACCCCGAGATACTTAAACTCCTCCACTTGAGGTAGGACCTCTCCCCCGACCCGGAGGTGGCAAGCCACCCTTTTCCGGTCGAGAACCATGGTCTCAGATTTGGAGGTGCTGATCCTCATCCCAGCCGCTTCACATTCGGCCGCGAACCTACCCAGCAAGAGCTGAAGGTCAGAGCTGGATGAAGCTAGGAGGACCACATCATCCGCAAAAAGCAGAGACGAGATTCTCCTGCCACCAAACTCGACACACTCCACACCACGGCTGCGTCTAGAAATTCTGTCCATAAAAGTGATGAACAGAACCGGTGACAAAGGGCAGCCCTGCCGGAGTCCAACCCTCACTGGGAACAGGTCCGACTTACTACCGGCTATGCGGACCAAACTCACGCTCCTCTGGTAAAGGGACTGAATGGCCCTTAACAGAAAGCCACCCACCCCATACTCCTGGAGCATCCCCCACAGGGTGCCCCTGGGGACACGGTCATAAGCCTTCTCCAAATCCACAAAGCACATGTGGATTGGTTGGGCAAACTCCCATGCCCCCTCCATCACCCTTGCAAGGGTATAGAGCTGGTCCACAGTTCCACGGCCAGGACGAAAACCACATTGCTCCTCCTCTATCTGAGATTCAACTATCGATCGGACCCTCCTCTCCAGTACCTTGGAGTAGACCTTTCCAGGGAGGCTGAGGAGTGTGATCCCCCTATAGTTGGAACACACCCTCAGGTCACCCTTCTTAAAGATGGGGACCACCACCCCGGTCTGCCACTCCCTAGGAACTGCCCCCGATGACCACGCAATGTTGTAGAGACGTGTCAACCATGACAGCCCTACAACATCCATAGCCTTAAGATACCCAGGACGAACCTCATCCGCCCCCGGGGCTCCGCCGCTGTGTAGTTGTTTGACTACCTCAGCAACTTCTGCCCCCGAGATCGTACAGTCCATCCCCAGGCCTCCCAGCTCTGGTTCCTCCTCGGAATGCGCATTGGTGGGATTGAGGAGCTCCTCAAAGTATTCCTTCCACCGTCCGACTATAGCCTCAGTTGACGTCAGCAGCTCCCCATCCCCACTGTAAACAGTGTGAGCGAGTTGCTGCCTTCCTCTCCTGAGGCGCCGGACAGTTTGCCAGAACCTCTTTGGAGCCGATCGATAGTCTTTCTCCATGGCCTCACCAAACTCCTCCCACGCCCGAGATTTTGCCTCGGCAACTGCCACTGCTGCACCCCGCTTGGCTATCCGGTACCTGTCTGCTGCCTCCGGAGACCCACAGACCAGCCACGCCCTGTAGGCCTCCTTCTTCAGCCTGACGGCTCCCCGAACCTCTGGTGTCCACCAGCGGGTACGAGGGTTGCCACCACGACTGGCACCGGCCACCTTACGACCACAGCTAGCAACAGCCGCCTCGACAATCGCAGAGTGGAACAAGGCCCACTCGGACTCAATGTCCCCCACTGCTCTCGGGACGTGGTCAAAGCTCTGCCGGAGGTGGGAGTTGAAGACCGTCTTGACAGGTTCTTCTGCCAGGCGTTCCCAGCAGACCCTCACTATGCGTTTGGGTCTGCCAGGTCTACGCGGCATGTTCCCTTGCCATCTGATCCAACTCACCACCAGGTGGTGATCAGTTGACAGCTCCGCCCCTCTCTTCACTCGGGTGTCCAAAACATACGGTCGCAGGTCAGATGATACGACTACAAAATCTATCATCGACCTGTGACCTAGGCTGCCCTGGTACCAAGTGTACCGGTGGGCATCCTTATGTTCGAACATGGTGTTCGTTATGGCCAAACTGCGGCTTGCACAGAAGTCCAATAACAAAACACCGCTCGAGTTCTGATCAGGTGGGCCGTTCCTCCCAATCACACCCCTCCAGGTCAAGCTGTCATTGCCCACGTGAGCATTGAAGTCCCCCAGCAGGACAATGGAGTCCCCTGATGGAGCACTATCTAGCACTCGTCCCAGGGACTCCAAAAAGGGTGGGTACTCTGAACTGATATTTGGCCCATAAGCACAAACAACAGTCAGGACCCGTTCCCCGACCCGAAGGCGCAAGGAAGCTACCCTCTTGTCCCCCGGGGTAAACCCCAACACACAGGCAGAGAGTCTCGGGGCTAACAAAAAGCCAACCCCAGCCCTCCGCCTCTCACCCGGAGCAACTCCAGCAAAGTAGAGTGTCCAACCCCTCTCCAGGTCTCGGGTTCCAGAGCCAATGCAATGTGTCGAGGTGAGTCCGACTATATCTAGCCGGTACCGCTCAACCTCTGCCACAAGCTCCGGCTCCTTCCCCGCCAGCGAGGTGACGTTCCATGTCCCAAAAACTAGTTTCCTTGTCCGGGGATTGGACCGCCAAGGCTCCCGCCTTGGTCTGCCACCCGATTCACATTGCACCGGACCCTTCATGTTCCTCCTGCGGGTGGTGGGTCCACAGTTGGACGAGCCCATGTATCCGGTTCGGGCTGGGCCCGGCCGGGCCCCATGGGCGAAAGCCCGGCCACCAGGCGCTCGCTCACGGGCCCCAACCCCAGGCCTGGCTCCAGGGTGGGACCCCGGTAACCCTCCGGGCCGGGTACTCCGACTCTTCGTTTTCACCACCATGAAAGATCCTTCGAACCGTTCTTTGTCTCACCCTTCACCTAAGACCAATTTGTCATGGGAGACCCTACCAGGGGCACTAAGTGCCCCAGACAACATAGCTCCTAGGATCATTAGGGCACTCAAACTCCTCCACCACGATAAGGTGACGGTTCAAGGAGGAGGCTGATTTACTGAAAAGCTGAATTATATTAAGTATTAAAATCATGAAAAAGACATAAAACGAGCCGACGACATCTTCAGAAGATCTTTTCAACGCTGCTGAAAAAAGAAAAAAAAAAGCTGCAAATTCAAAAACACAAAATATTTTTTTTTATGTTTTTATTTTCAAACTGAACAAAAACAGAAATTAGACAGAATGAAAATTTTGGGCTGAATTTATTTTTATGAGCACGAGAAGAACGGTGGTGATGCTGAAATCCCAGAACAACGAGGCTCTCTGTGCAGCTGGGATTACAAACACCAGATGACACAATCCAGATTACAAAAATACAGAATGAATCTAAATCTGCTCCAAATAAACCAGTTGGAGATGTTGAAAGTGACACCGAAGACACAAATAAAACCATAAAGAAGAAGAAACTCACATGCAACCCAAACGTTGTCCTGAAACTACGCCTCAGCGTCTGCAGCTTCAGCATCCGGAGACATCTTTGGTTTTGTTGCGGCGCTGAAAGCGCGTGTCGGCCGGATCAAAGCCCTGCTCCTGCGCTCCGAACAGAGCCCAGCTGGGAGTCCGGCTCATGTAGTCCGAGGCCGAGAAGGTCCGCTGACCCCCGCTCTCCTCGTGAACCACAACTAGCTCCTGAAAACGCTCGTAGTCGATCCAGGTCCACCACTCCCCGTCAACCTTGAACTAAAACACAAACAAGCAGGAAAGTAGATTATTCCTGATGTTTTAGTTACTCTCAACACCGAGAGCCGCTGCTTCATCAAGGACCAACACCTACTAGCAGAAGTGATGATGTTCCTCACTGATGGAGCAACAACTCTCCTGTGTTTGATGTGTTGTGTTAGAAAGCATCTGCACCACTAATCAAGCCGGAGAAGGAAAGCCTTCCGGGAATTATGTTTCCCATCATGAGAAACGATGATAGCTATGCAGCCGGCCTCCCGGATAACAGATCCGTCCTGCTCGGGTCTGAGAGGAGACCCAACTGGATCCCGAAGGAACCAACAGAATAAGAGGCATGAAGACGCCAGGTGAAGACGCCAGGTGAAGACGCCAGGTGAAGACGCCGGGTGAAGACGCCGGGTGAAGACGCCAGGTGAAGACGCCAGGTCCCTTAAACGGAGACGGCTGTAGACGCTCGAGCAGAGGCGACCGCTCCGGCGGTGGAGGACAACCGTCAGATCGAGTCCTGCAGGGAACCAGAAAACGCTCGCTTCCCTCACACACACGTAAAGATGGCCGACCTCTTCCTGGCGTGACACGACTCGCTCCCATTTCTGAAAAACCTAAAGATGGCATTGATCACTCATGGCTGCAGCGGAGCCCCGAGCTGCGTTAACGTTTCACATCGCTGATTTCAGACGCAGCACAGCTGGACTTTAGACGTCTCAGGAGGTGGAGGCTCTGTGTGATGGGTTAGGCTCATGCAGGATTACAAACGTCCTGTCAGCTGGAGCAGAGGTCAAAGTTAACATGTAGGTGTCATGAAGGTGATCCTACCTTTGTGTGAGCAATGAGCAGGCAGTTGGAGTGCTCGTGCTCACAGGCGATCTCGTACCGAGGCAGCATGTCAGCTAGCTGCTGGACGAAGGCGACCACCTCCTGGTGCCACGGGACGTTGGCCATGGTCAGGCTGCTGGCGGCGCTTTCCCCGCAGTACGTCACACCCTGGAGACCCGCACAGAGAAACACATGACTCGGCTGCTGCGCTCCAGATCTCAGACCCTGATGCTCGAGAACCTGGTAGAGCCTTTTTAAGGAGGACTGCTCTTCAAACCTAAAGCAAAGCAAGTCTTTGCAGGAGCCATCGACCCTTAAACGTATTACTGGATGAAGGGAAATGATTGTTTTTACAGGTCTAACATCCCTTCCAGTGTTATTCTGGCTCCTACAAACAATCCTGTACTCTGAATTTATCCTAAAACATTTATTCGCACAACCAGGAAAGACTGAAATATTCAAGAGCCCATTATTGGCAGACCAGAGAATCCGACGCCGAGGACCATTCCCATAACTACAACAGGGTGTCCAATTACAGGATCAGGACTCTGATCCATCCGAGCCCCTCCGGAGCTGGTACCAGCAGCACCCTCTCAGCAGGAACAGAAATACAAACAAGGTGACCCGCATCATTACGTTTGTTAGGCGACAGCAAGGGCCGGCCGGAGGCCAGGGCAGGAACGCTGCGCGGAGCTGATGAATGACCTCGGAGGTATCCGGCACACCCGGGGAACCCGGAATGAAGATCAACGCTCCTGGATCAGGAGCAGCTGAAGCAGGAATAGGAGCAACAGGAGAGACATATATTTGTTTTATCAGCTCAGAGGTCTCAGCGGCCCTCAGTGGTTCTTCCACTGGTCAACATCAGTGTGTGCGTGTACATGTGTGTGTGTGTGTGTTTGCGTGCATGCACGTACATCGCACCAAAGTTCTTCACCCTCTCATCCTTTGATCCATCACCTCCAGCAGCTAAACGGTCCTGATGCTGCGCTGAGAGGGTGAGTGTGCTGCACCAATGCTAATCTATTAGCTGACGGGTTGCTAACACAGGTGGACAGAAACAAAGTGGCTTCACTAGATGCATGCCGTGTTTTACTTGCTTTTCAGTAAAAGCTGCTGAGAACAACAGGATGAAAAGCATTTCTGTCTCCATCTGCTTGATTCGGACTGCATCCTGAAACTCCCGACCGTGTCACTAGTGAACGGAGCGTCTGCACCACGTCTAAACCAAAGCACTGAAGAGCATTCTCATCTCTGATTAGGGCATTTTTACATTTCCTCTTCGTTGATGTTCTTTTCAGCACAAAGTTTCATGGCAAACACAATAAAGATGTAAAAAACAACTGATTTTATTTTGAAGGCACGACTCGGAGGAAATACAGCGGCCTGGTTTGGGCCTTGGAGACTAAAGCGCTGCAGTGATCTGCAGATTGTACCAATTCCTCTTACATTTGGATCTAAATGAAGCACCGAATGGTCCCACCCTCGTTTTCTGTGTCTTTCAGGCTCTCTGATGACATGGCGAGTACTAAAGGTAACGTTAGACAAGAAGGTCCAAGAAGGCCACGCTGCTAAAGCGCTGATCTTCCATCAGTTAGCAGCGACGACTCTGTCGTCAGCCCAAGGCAGGAAGCACCAACTACTGGGCTGGCTGGATCGCTGGCGGCTCCTTCACCTGTTTGGGTAACGGGCGGCAGAATAGAGCTCAAAGGTAGAAAGAAGGAGGGGAAGAGTTAAGACGGTGGAAAAGGAGATAATTAGGTGAAGAAGAGACTCCAGAGAGACGGGAGTGAAGGTTCATCCTGGGCCTTGCCGCACACGCCGCAGTAATAAATAAAAGTAGCAACAAGTGAAGATTTTCAGAGAAGAAAAACGTACAAATGAAAAAGGTGCTCATGATTCTTCTAGCAGTACGTTAATGAGCTAAACCATTTAGGCTGATTAACCGCTGAAAACAGGCGACAAATATCTGAGGAGTCACTCAGAGATTACAAACGAAAGTTAATCAAAGCAAAGAAAACATCAGAATATTTGTAGCTAAGATGCTAATGCTAACAACGTTTGTTCCGGCCGTTGTGTCCTTGAGCAAGACACTTAACCCCCCTTTCCTGCTGGTGGGGGTCGGAGGGACCGGCGGCGTCAGTACGCCCCAGGGCAGCTGTGGCTACATCGTCGCTCATCCCCACCAGCGTGTGAATGGGTGAATGACTGTGTTGTAAAGCGCCTTGGGGGGGGTCCAGGACTCTAGAGGGCCCTATATGTAATACAGGCCATTTTTACCAATGTTCCAGAGGCCCCCAGACTCTGGACCTCTCTCCCTCTGAGCCTGAGGCCAGTGGACTCAGTGGTCTCCTTTAAAAAGCAGCTGAAGTCTCACCTGCTCAGGTGGGTTTGCCTGAAGGTTAAAGCTAGAACAGAGAAGCACTGGCCCAGAAACAGTGGAAACCAGTAGGCTACACAGTAGGGTTGTCACGGTAACCGGTGTAGCGGTAAACCCCGGTAAAAAGTTGACAATAATAATAACCATCTTGTTTTTTTAAAACTATATTATCTCGGTGGATTACCGTGGCTGCGGTGTAGGCGCGGTGACCCTTACCAGCCACCGTACCATCTGCTGAAGTTGCCGGCGGCACATGTGCACTTTGTTGTTTACAACCAAAACTTTCTTGAAGCTAAAGCTGAAATAATGGCCAAAGGAGGAGACGGCAGCACTCAGGACATTTTTTATCCCTCAAAGAAGGCAAAGTGGGAAGTACGGGCATCTTTAGGATATTTGAAGAATGCCGAGGGACAGTTGATAGAAGACGGCTATCCTGTTTGCAGCACGAGCAGAAAAAGTGTCTGTGAAAGGCAGCAACGCTTCAAATCTCATGACACATCTGCATGACCATCACCCACAACTCTACAGTCAACGCAAGGCAAGCTAACGTTAGCGTTTTAGCTAAAATGCGTGATCCGAGGATTTGGGTTGAGGGAGAATGCAACGAGTCGCTATATAAAGCAGCCGCAGCGCCGCTACCTGCATATAAACCGTGTCGCGGACACCCCCATGTTGAAATGACGCTATGCATTACGGGGCTCCCAGGGGCAGATAAGAGTTGGTCTCTCTCCGAGAATAATTATGAATTTAACAACGATTACTGCCTGATGACATTTTCCCACATCTGCAAAGCTCACTGGAAGGACACAAACCGAGGACAATATTTTCCTGATATAGGGTTTATTACTCAAGTAAGGGTAAAAAAGTATCTGATTAGAAGGCTACTTGAGTACTGAGTATCATCTGATCTAATATTTTTAAAATGATGACATCAAACCATCGACATATATACTGGACAATTCATTTCCATAGGCTCCAATAACACATTTTTGTGCCAAAGTGGGAGGTGGCCACCACCACCATTTTGACTGTGTCACAGGTTCCGTCAAGCCCAGACAATTCCACAAAAGGGAAGAGAGGAGGAGCTGAGGGTGGGGCTGTAAGGCTGGGATCAACTGACGACACCCGGTCGAACTAGCTACAAGCTAACCTGAAGCTAACGCGGAGGTGGGAGCTAAGCTAACAGAGGTAGCAACCTAGCTACAACCGGAGTTAACTGTGCACAACACCAGAGCTTCTGAGTCAGAGATACGCCGGGCTGACCGCTGGGTAAAACCGGGTGGAACACAGAGGTCTCCCGAGACCTCCACAAGCCGATAGTGGGAACCCAGCTCCACCAACATGTTATATTTCAACCCATTTTCTAAAGTGCAGCATTATGTTAAATGCACTGGGTTTTACCCTATTACATTTAAATTTCATGGTTAAACAGTACATGTTAAAATCTAAGCTCAGCTCGGCAGTGACCTAAAATACATAAATATAATTTTACTTACCAAAAAAAATGAAGTGGAGACTCCTTGGACGCTCTATTAGTGCAATTAATGCCACAGCAAGTCATTTTGTCCAACAATTGCACAAAAAATATCCAAACAAGAATACACACACACAGAGACTCAAAATCCCGGAGCAGTTTCCAGGCCAGACCGAGGCTCTACTGAGGCCTTTCCCCGGAGCTAGCTCTGCGGTCACGTGGGTCTGATGCTCATTAATTATACAGAATTTTAGGCTTTTAATACACTTAAACAGAAGAGTGAGAAAAACATTCACCCCCCTCAGAGTTGTCATGAGTGTAAACTAGATCATTTAAACCAAAAACATGTTCTGGTACCAGGCTGTAAACATGTTTATTTCTGCTGTGAAATTGGTATTTTTAACATGGGAGTCAATGAGGATTTGCTCGCTTCTGACACCAGCCCCTAGTGGATGAGGGTGGAACTGCAATTTTTGGTACTTCCGGGTTGGAGTCACTGTTTGAGCTGCATTGTGGGGGCTTGTATCAAACAGACAAAAAATAAGAAGTTATGGGCAAATGTTGCTATTTTAAAGACTAAAGGGGAAAAATGTAAACAAATAAACAACATAATTACAAAATAACAAATTGTAGGCAAAATTCAGTCACAAACAGGAAGTTAATATCACCAACCGTCCTGTTTTATTAAGGCGCATCCACGTAAACGGCCCAGTCTGCAGATCCAAGATGATTTTATTTACTTACAGGATTATAAACAAGTGACAACGCTAACGGTGCATTTCTATGTAAAAGTCATCCATGTTTCTGTAACGTAATACTGTACGCATGTCTGGATGCCATGGTCTGCTGCCTGCAGACTAATAACGCTTCTCAGGTGAAGCTAGGAGTTAGCGCACGGAAGCTGCTTCTGAAAACTCCTCATCCGTTTGTTCCGGTCCGGATAAACGAGGGTTAAAGAAAGTAAAAGCCACAGAAGCGGAGCGCGGCGGCTCTCTGAGGAGAATGTGAGGTAGACAAACAGCCTCGTGTGATCTGGAGTGTGTGTGGGACGAAGGCTGTTCAGCAGCGTTGAAGGTGATGGACGTATGAAACGGGAGACAAGAGGAGGATGAATGTATTCATGAGCGCAGGATGGGGTCAGAGGTTGGGGCCGTCTGTCGTCTCCAAGTCGATCCGACGAGGGAAGATTAGAATAAAACTCCTAAAGAGATTCCTGAATTCAGCCTTACAAACCCGCTTCTCCCTCCAACGGGATCATGTCCTCATATGATGCTCTGAATAACTCTCTCAGACTCAGCCGTTGCCGTGGCAACCGCAGCTCAAACTGCCACCAGGTGCCACTTCCCCACACTATTAATAATCCCACGTTCGCCAAATGATGGTGGTAAGGTCAGCGAGCTACGGAGCCCACCCCTCAAACATCTGCAGGGAGGATCGTTTCTTATTCATGGCGTCACGTCGTCTCGCTGGAGTCCGACTTGCTACAATCACAGCTCCGTGGTCCCGGACGTGGAAAAAAGATCTGACACGAACGCTTTAGCTGCTGCTGTAAATCACCTCACTTCTGTCTGCCGGACTGATACGCTAACGGCTAGCTAAGGCTGCATGACACTGGAGGAACTTCACTGAGTTTTCCTCGACCTGCGATGAGGTTATGGACGCCTAAAGGTTACGCTGCACCGCTGCCTTCTGGATGGCGTGTGACACACAGCGGGAGGTAAATCACGTTCTTCCAGATCAAATCAGCATCTTATGCAGCGTAATCGTAAATGTAGACATGACAAACTCTACTGTCCATCTTGAAAATGATAAATGAAGTCCAACCACTGAGAAAGCAGAGCCATCCTGGACAAAACGGCCATTTTACTTCCACAAGTGTCCACTGAAGGGCCTGCGTCACACACCTACTACTGTCAGCACCACTGAGTAGGTAGTTGTGTTCCTTCAACCGGAAATAAGACGCTTGGATTTTATGAACCCCGCCTCCACCTGTGTGAACTCTGCCGGCAGCAGACCCGGAGACCACAGACTGCAAAGCGTGCACCACATGCTCGTTAGAGGAGCTGCAGTCAGCAAAACGCACGCTCCTGTGAAGTTGGAGCGCTGGAAGGAGAGGCTGATGATCTCCAGTGGGTTAGTGCAGGAGGGGAATCAGGTGGACAATGAGCCAAAGCGGGATCGACCATGGTTTTCCCGCTCCCCACCCTGGTCCTGAATACCTGGCATGATGTGCAGCATTCTGGGCAGAAGCAGGAGGACATTCTGCCTCACAAATGCGGAGATCCAGGCTGGAGTCATCCGCCTTAAAGGCTGCCCCTGAGCACCTAAACTCAGCCAGAACCATGAGGAGGACCGGTGCATAGAACCAGGTGGGAATCCCTGCAGGACCCATCTTCAAATGTGCGTTACCAGCTCCTAGCTTAGCTTGTTTAGCGGCTACCTAAAGACTCCTCATGTGCATACGTCACGGCACGCACTCTCACAAGCTGAGGTGGTGGCGGTCCGAACCCCTTCACAATAAAAGTCATCTCTACCTCTACAACAATCGTGGCAAAAAGTACAAGACTCAGTTGTTCAGCCAGAAGATGAGAAAACTGGATATTAACTTATAAACAAGAAAAGTTTTATTTTGACTAAAATGACAAAAAGCATCTTTAAATAAGCCAAAAATAAACACTTCAGGCAAGAAAGCAAACGACTTTTTCTTCTCTGCAACGTTGTCTCAGGGAAGACGAAACTCCGCCGGCGCGTTGCTTCTAGGGATGGGTACCGAATTCGGTACTTTTTAAGGTACCGACCGAATTCCATAGAACCGACCGAGCACCGATTCACGTCATTTCAAACGGCGCCTCGTTTCGGTACCCGTCCTTCATAACGAGAACTAGCCTAGACAGCTGCGCATGCGCAAGAGCGTTATGTCGTCGGTCGCTGTGAGCCAGTTGTAAACAGAGCAGCATGGTAGAAAGAACGCGCTAAAGCTTGGGTCCACTTCACTAAATGTGATGGGTAACTGGGTGATGATGAAACCAGCGACAACGATCTAAGTGAGACATCCTCATCTTAAGCTGCTCCGGTAGGTAAATAAAAGGTTTAAGGTAACGTTAGCTTGATATGTTAGCTTCCGTTCCGCTAATGGTGCGTTCGCTTTCTCTTCGGAACTCCGAAATTCTGACTAGAAGAACCTGAACACGCTCTAAAGTTTGGCTTCACTTTACTAAATGCGACGGGTGATTGGGTGAAGATGAAACCAGCGACAACGATCTAAGTGTGAGGCATCATCGTTTTAATCTGCTCCAGCAGCTAAATAAACAGTTTAAGATAACGTTAGCTTGATATGTTAGCTTCCATTGCCACCATTGTTATCAGCTAATGGTGCGTTCGCTTTCTCCTCGGAAATTCTAACTTCCCAGTAGGAAAAATCAAATGAAAAAGGACGGCAAAAGGAATGAAGATACACAGTAAATTTAGTTCACAGTGAAGATGTTTGCTTCAGTTTAATTATCAGCTTATAAAACTACAAGGACGATGTTAAAATACAAACAGTTGTATGTTATTTATCGTGATATTTATCAAATATTGTTATATATTGAGAAAAATATATATTTAATTATAAAAGAGAATTAAAATAATAAACACTCAAAAGTATTGAAAATTGGTACCGTTAAGTACCGGTATCGACTCGTAGGTACTGGGAATTAGTACCGAATCGATTCAAATGTCAAAGGTACCCATCCCTAGTTGCTTCGCAGGAACATGAATGCTTAAGTACGTCTTTGAATAAACAGCCTGCAGTTTAGTGGTTTTGGAAAGGATTTGTTCCAAACAAATACAAAAGCGGGAGTCGTACCTTGACTTCGATGAAGTCTGGCTGTCCCAAAGTGATGAGCTCAGCGTACGCCATCATCTCCTCCACGTTCCAGGCCTTCACCAGCGTCAGCCTGTACACCGTCCTCTGTCTCTGAGGGGACAAAGACACAACCGGGTTTGGTCCTGGACGTCCACACACGAGAGGGACGAGAGCCTGGCTGCGCTAAACTAAACCAGACAAAATGGTCATTTTAAACGTTTATATGCTGGAAAAGGATGGACCCCTCTAAACAGCCTGGACCCACCCGTAGATCTGGTCGATGACTCGGGGAAACACATCTCCCGGACTTCTGGTGGAGTTAACTGGATGAATAAACGAGGCAGAGCTAGGCTGGAGGGTGAATCAGACCAGCAACAAAGTGGATTTCTGACTAAACAGAAGAAGAATCTCATTTAAATGTTAGAAACTGGATGAAAGGACAAATGTTTCAGAGAAAAAGCTAAGCTGCTCTTCTTCCTCGTCTCTGCTCATGTCTCCCCTCCAGAAGAGGAAGCGCTCCCACCCTTTCCTTCATTTCCTCCCCGTTTCCCACTTGCTCTGGAAGCGTATCCGTGACATCAGGTCCTTTCAGCTCAGCAGGGGAGGGGATAATTGGCCGGTGGCGGCGGGGAGTTGAAGTATTTCAAGCTGCATCTTTTCCAAATCTGGCACCGAGGTGCAACTGTGTCTATTCCCAAAGCGAAGGCAGAAAGGCCAGGAGGAGAAGAGGAGGAAAGCTGTCAAACGTGGAAGGGTAAGAGCTCAGGAAGGATGGAGGAGGAGAAAACCGGGAAAAGAGAAATCAGCCTGGAAAAATTATTCATCTGGAAATTTGGACTCATTAGTTCAATCCTATTTATTATGAATCGTCGTCAATGACAACAATCGGAGGGTTCATTATGAAAATGTTGGTTAAAAATATAAAGATAGTTTTAAAATGAAGCGTTTTTCTTCGTTTTCCAGGAGACGAGCATGTCGCCCAGAAGGACCTGGGACCAAATCTAGCCTACAGATGGAAGGAATGCAGAATGGAAGTCTAGTGTTCCAGCTCAGGATCAGGATCCATCCGAACTTTTCTGCTCGGAGACGAAGGCTGTGATCAGGATACGCCACGTGACCCATCAGCCTCTGATGCAGCCGCTTAGCTGTGTCCAAAACTAACACCGACACGAGGAAATGATGGTTTGAACTGGCGTTTGAGGGTTTAAAGGTGGAGGAAGTTAACCGTACTGATCCTTCTGGAAGGTTCCTGTTCTCCAGCGGCAGCGGCGCTGACACGTCTGACCCCAACACATCAATGGCGATTTAAAGCAAAAGATAAGGAAGAGAGAAACATATTTACAGAAACAGAGTTTTACCCATCTTTAGGTCTCATATGATGCTTCACAGAGACTTCTGTTAAAGGTGTGGTTCACCCAGATATTCAGTGCATCTGCAGTGGTCACAAACACACGCACTATTTCCAGGATCTCTAAGATCAGGAGAGCTTCACACGACAGGATCTAGAGTCTTACTTCCTGATATGTGGACATCTCTCCTCTGATTGGCTAACAGCAACACGACTCTACCACTGACTCTGTTTGCTCTGCAACGTGGGTGTTTAATGTCCACCAATAACACACGCCTGGAGGAGTTCTGCTGTGTGGTGGACTTGCTAATGCTAGCGGTTAGCTTCTACTAGCCTGGACGCTAAACCAACAACAGCCTTCCCCGTCGTGAGTCCAGATGGGTGAGTCCATGAAAGTTAGTGACAGGGTGACGTAGATCTGTCAGGATTTTCTAATCCTAGAGTTTCACCGTCTGTTTTCTGTCAGAAGCTACTGCAGGAGATAGGTGTAGGAGACTATTCTCATGTTCAGCCTGCATGAAACACTCAGAGTGATCCGCTAAGAATCAGAAATAATCATTAAAATGAGTTTTCAGTGTTCCAAACCTTCTGTTTACTGCAGGATTACGTTACGCACCAAACCGTCTGCAGCACGCTTCATTATCTTTATCTGGAAACTGAGTTCTCTAGTTTTCTACAAACGTGGAAACCTAAATAATAGTTTAGGTTCCCAGAGAATCTGTAGACTGATGGATCAGCTGATTCGTACGTGACTATGTGTTTGGTCACCCCTTATGTTGCTCCAAGCCAACTAAACACTTTCATTTGGCTATAATAATAATAATAATAATTATTATTATTATTATTAACATTATAATATTTATAATATAATAATAATAACAAATAATAATAACATTATTATAATATTTATAATAATAATAATAATAATAATAACAATAGCAACATTGATAATAATAATAATAATATTAACATAAATAATAATAATTAACATTATTATAATGTTTATAATTTATAATAATAACAATAGCAACATTAATAATAATAATAATAACAAATAATAATTAACATTATTATAATATTTATAATAATAATAATAATAACAATAGCAACATTGATAATAATAATAATAATATTAACATAAATAATAATAATTAACATTATTATAATGTTTATAATTTATAATAATAGCAACATTAATAATAATAATAATAACAAATAATAATTAACATTATTATAATATTTATAATTATAATAGCAACATTAATAATAATAATAATAACATAAATAATAATAATAATCAGGGTTGCCCCCAGCACTTTATAAGCCTGGTGGCCCGCCAGGCTTTGCTTGGCCACCTGCCAGGCTAAGCGTCATGCCCCGCCCCCCTCCCCGACCCTACCGTGTCCGCTGACACAAACAGCGCAACGAAACTAGAGCCCTCCATCAGCTGGTACTGGTGAGAAACTGCAGCGGAACGTGTGCCCCCCCACCCTCCCGTAGATGAACCCGTACATCAAGCTCTACTTAGCCGGGCCGACGCCCTTGCTACTGCAGACTCGGCCCTGGTCCCAGTGTTAACTGCAGAAGTTAACATCATATATTCTGCTGCTTTTCAGCACCACGGCCTTAACTGGGCTTTTAAACTCCAAGGCTCCTAATTCATTAAAGGCAGAGGTACCTCCTGTGCACATTTTCAGTAAAATGATGATGTGGGTGTAATTAAGTGTAGTGATCTATTCCCTCTAACGCCGCGTCTCAAGCTGAGTAATGAATTTGTTTATCACTCGATTAAATATTAAAGGAGCTGCTGCAGCTTCACCACAAACACATGCAGGAGGAGTTTTCCTGGGGTGGAAGCTACTTCCCGTCTCCGACAGGTTTTATCGGCTTTCTGGAAAAAAACAAGTTAACAGATTTACACGAGTGGTGAAACCATGAGGAGCTACTCGTTAGGCTCGTTTTCAGCTGCAGACAAACACAGATCCACTGAAGCTTTTATTCTGGAGGGAACCTGAGGCTGAAGTTAGAATAAAACCTCTTCCAGATCAGAGTTTAAAAAAAGGCCTCACAGCCAGTTTAGCAGCTTCCTGACTCTCAGTGAAAGTGACTCAATGCAAAAGACTCTGCAGGATTTAAAGGGGCATCATGGAAGTGTGACAGCCAAAACATGTATAGAAATAATAAATGTCTTCTTCATACATTCTCCTGCAATGCCCTGGTCCTGTAGAATGAGCCCTGGCATTTTTACTGTGATTGCCTGTTTTTCTGTAAAATCACAGAAAAAGAGAGATGCTCGGGTCGAGCAGGCTGCTTCATGCGCGTTCACGCTCAGGCATCGCCCTCCGCACCGTTCTTTGAACGTTGTTTCAGCTGTCATCAAGGATATAAATGTTACAGATGCAAAAGACGCCACTGGTGATTTAGCTCACCTAGTAAAATTTTGGGCTTTCATGCAGAAGACCTGGGTTTGATTCTGGATGTGAACATAGTTTATTTAGAGTTTATTTTTTACATTAATGATATATTTTTTTACAGTAAGATGCCCAAATTTTTATTTGAGACTCGCCGAACGGCATTGAATTCACAGATAAAAAAGATGTGGGTTCAACTTTCATTTTGGAACAATTTTTCAAGCAAGGGAAGGGAATGATCTGAGCATGCAGGAGGACTGACCCATCATAAACCTTTGTCGGCTGTGCTGAAGAGAAAGCTACAGAACCACATTATTTAATTAATTAGCTGCACGTTCTCCTGTCCTCTGGGTCACACACACACACACACACACACACACGGGACTGTCTCAGCTGTTACCTTCGTTAAGGAGTGTGCACGTACAGCATGCGCGCCTCGTGCACAAGCCTACTATTGAAGCTGCTGTTATGCTTTTGGCCAGAGGGGGCAATCGCGAGCATAAAAATTCAAAACTCCCTAAAGTCCCTTTAAATCGATGCTTGTGGTATTAACAGCTCTGAAGAACAGCGGTAACGAAACGGCGACAAGCAGGAATCAGACGGAAACAGAACTTAACCTCTGGGACCACGATGGTAGAAAACTCCCACTGATCTACAGAAATGTTAAACCCTGATGCCCGACTCGTGAACCGCGGCACACCTCACCTTCTCACCCAGAGCCCTGAGGCTGTCCAGGAAGCGAGGCCAGAAGTCCTTGAAGAGCGGTCGGTCGATCTTCTTCAGGCTGTCTTTGGTGCTGGCGTCCACGCTGACGTACAACTGCGTCACCGGCTCCAGGTTCCTGGAAACGAGAGGTAAGAAAGCCCAACATCTGCTGATTGTGTACATGCCAGTAATGCAATGATGGAGCTGTAGTTTGGTAAAGTCAGTGAGAGAAGAAGAAAGCAGCAGAGTCCTGTCAGTCCTCAGGGGAAGGCATCGCTCCCACCGCCTTCCTGGGCAGGATGACCATACCGAGTTCTGACATCATCAATGAAGCACCGCCTCCAAAGATAAACTCATCAGGTATTCCTGCCGTGTGTTCTGGTCTGCTCGGAAGGACATCAGGACAGCTCCGATTAAACGATCAGAGATTGCTGAACGTGTTGGATGGTCTTGGTCCCACATCCGTGTCGGCTGAACGTGTAGCCAATCAAAAAGGAGGCGACGGACGCACGGAGCTAGGACCAAAACTTTTACTTCCATAGTTATTTTTATTAGTCAGTTTTTTTTAAATCGCTCGTGTGAACCGGGAATGATGAGTCGTGGCTATTTTTACAGTTCCAAGGCTTTTGGAAGTGGCGGCCATCTTGAAAGACTAATCGGAGGTAGATATAAATCCAGTGATTAACGTCTAAAAGTTTTATTTCAATCGTTCCAGTTCAAGATATTTTACTAATGAACACACACACACACGCACGCATGCATGCACACACACAATCACAAACACACACACACACAATCACACACGCATGCATGCACACACACAATCACAATCACACACACACACACACGCATGCATGCACACACACAATCACACACACACACAAACACACACACACACACACGCACATATGCACACACACAATCACATGCACACACACAAACAAACACACACACGCACACACACACACACACGCACGCACATATGCACACACACAATCACACACACACACACGCATGCACACACACAATCACACACACACACACGCACACACATATGCACACACACAATCACACACACACACACAATCACACACACACACGCATGCACACACACAAACAAACACACACACGCACACACACGCATGCATGCATGCACACACACAATCACACACACACACACACACACACACAATCAAACACACACACACACACACACACACGCATCACACACACACACAAACACAATCACAATCACAATCACACACACACACACACGCATGCACACACACAATCACACATGCACACACACAATCACACACACACACACACACACACACACACAATCAAATACACACACACACACACACGCACGCACGCATGCACACACACACGCATGCATGCATGCACACACACAATCACACACACACACAATCACACACACACACACACACGCATGCATGCATGCACACACACAATCACACACACACACACACACACGCACAATCAAACACACACACACACACACACGCACGCACGCACACACACACGCACGCACGCACGCACACACACACACACGCACGCACGCATACACACACACAATCATACACACACACACGCATGCATGCATGCATGCACACACACAATCACACACACACACACACACACACATACAATCACACACACACGCATGCATGCATGCACACACACAATCACACACATACACACACACACACACACAATCAAACACACGCACGCACGCACGCACGCACGCACGCACACACACACACACACACACACACACACACACACACACACACACACACACACACACACACACACACACACACACACACACACACACACACACACACACACACACACACACACACACACACACACACACACACACACACACACACACACACACACACACACACACACACACACACACACACACCAGTAAAAATGTACATTCGGCTGAGTCCAGATGAGTGAGGTAATGCAAGGAAACGCCATCAGGGGGGCCATCTGCCCCGGCAGCATCAGGTCTTCCACACTAAGTCAAGGCGCTCAGAGGAGGGGGCGCATAGACCCCACCTCCACTCAAACAATACCTGTAGAGCGCCCAGGAAGCAACAGTCGACCACCGCCCCGGGGCAGAGGGCCCCTACAGAGTAACACCAGATTAAAATGAGTAAAAATATGAAAATAAAAGAGCTAATATAAATGACAAAAGTAAGAAAATAAATACTAAATAAAATCATATAGACAGTAACATTATAATTTTATTAAATAATGAAAATGAGCTAAAATATAGTCGTATAAAACAAGCAAAGCCAGTAATAAAACATAATCGTGTAAAACGAGAAATAAAACTACAGTAAATAATTAGATAAGAGCGAACCCAAACAGGTGGGCCTTGAGCCTGGACTTAAAAACATGAACGTTCACTCGTCCTGCAGCTGGAGCCAGTGATGAACAAACATGTAAAAGCTAGAGTGTGTCCGGTGAGACGCTCGCTAGAGGCTGGATGTTTTTATTCGAGTCAGATGAATCTTTCCACCTTAAGAAATCAGCTGATCTCCAACCAGGCGGCTGTGACTGGCTGGATCCTGGCCAGGTGAGTGTGTGATGAGTGAGCTGCTGACAGGCTCGTTGGTGGTGCTTCGGAGGAGCCACTGAACACCTGACAACCTGTAGGTGGTTCTGGACTGAGGTCAAAAGATGCGGAGCAGTGTAAAAATCCAACATCGTCAACGTTCTCGTCATTTTTTATGTGCAGGACTCGTCAGAAGTTTGGGTATAACTACTCAGCCGAGGCTAAACGTGCTGCCGTGCCTTTTATCTCCACGGAGGCCGTTAGGAATCACCATTACTTCTCTGTAACTACGTGTGCTGAACTTTTGGGATCTAGCAGAAGTTTGTGGGGTTAAAAATGAAGCTGAAAAAAGTTCATAAAGTAAAAAGATCATTAAAACGAAGGTTGGGAACATAAAAGTTCATAGAGAGACGCTGAATTTTCCTCCAGGCAACTAAAATGTCAGCCTCCCAATTCAAACTGGTGAGGAAGGTCTGTGTGGCATCAGCAGCTCACCTGATCTCCTCAGGGAACTGAGCGTTGGTGACCAGGAAGCTGGAGATGCGATGGCGGTGGAGGAGGCGGATAAAGGTGTTGATTTCAGGATACATGATTGGCTCTCCCACTAAGGACAGGGCACAATGCTTGACTTCCAGCCCTTCCTCATATCGCTCGGCCTTCACTCCGGGGACACCTGGAGGGAGGGAGACGATGGATTTACTCTAAGGGTTTATTTTAATTTTAGGAACTCCAAGTTGAACGAGTCGGTTTCACGGCAGACATTTTGACAGGTGTGTTAACGAGGGCAGCGTTCCAATCACAAACTAACTCGTTAGCAGCAGCATGCACAACTGCAGGAGTGGAACGCAGCCCTCGTTAGCATCCCGGCACCTTCTCTTCCCTAACCCACAGCTGAGAGAACACCGATGATAGTTACTGCAGGTAAGACATTAACCGGAACCCCTTAGAAAGAGCAACCTCTCTAACCGTAAACACCATGAATGTCATGCAAATGCATTTACATTCACCAATACGGAGCCAAAACCGGACCGAATATCCGTAAATTCATTTCATTTGCTTTCATATCATTTCCTTTAGGAAAAACGAGCTGCTTCTGTGGGAAGTATGTCTACGCTTCTGAATAAATGGAGTCAAAAGCAGACGTGGGGAATATAAATTGTGTTGGATGGTGGCAGCTGAGAGGTGATTTATGAGGTCTGGTAGCAGGAGAGTGACGGACACGACTTCCCTCTGCTTCGTTACGCTCAAGGTTACGAGAGGTCGTGAGCAGCAAAGCGAAGCCTGAGCAGAGGTGCGGTGAGCACGATGAAACGAACCAAAGTCCTTTTTATAAGAAACCGCTGTAAAGGAAACCAGGAATTAAATCTTATCTGAAACTGCTGGCTAAGGATAAGCGTAAATACAGTAAGATTGTTATTCACGCTGGCGGTAACGACACCCGGTTACGCCAATCGGAGGTCACTAAACTTAATGTTGCTTCGGTGTGTAAGTTTGCCAAAACAATGTCGGACTCCGTAATTTTCTCTGGCCCCCTGCCTGATCGGACCAGTGACAACATGTTTAGCCGCATGCTGTCCTTCAACCGCTGGTTGTCTAGGTGGTGTCCTGAAAACAACGTGGACTACATTGATAATTGGAAAACTTTTTGGGGAAAACCTGGTCTGATGTGGAGAGACGGCATCCATCCCTCTTTGGATGGAGCAGCTCTTCTTTCTAGGAACATGGCCAGTTTTATTAGTCCTCCATGACAACCCAGGGTCCAGACCAGGAAGCAAAGTCGTAGTTTAACCCACCCCTCTGCAGCTTCTGTACGGTTACCCACCCACTACCCCATACAGACAGTGTCCTGCCCACGGCCAAAACCACACAGATTAAATATCAGGCTTAATAAAGCAAATCATGGAAATCTCATAAATATTAGAACAAATTCAACTGAGCAGAAAACTGGAAAAATTAAATGTGGGTTGTTGAACATTAGATCCATTTTTTCTAAGACTTTGTTAGTTAATGACTTGATTTGTGATAATCAGATCTCTTTGTTCTCTCTCACAGAATCCTGGCTGCAGCAAGAGGACTATGTTAGCTTAAACGAGTCGACTCCTTCAAATTATTTAAATCATCACATTGCTCGAAGTACAGGGCGAGGAGGAGGAGTGGCAACCATTTTTCATTCTGACTTATTAATCAGTCCCTTACAGATTAATAGTTACAGTTCGTTTGAACATCTTATTCTTAGTTTTCCTAATCCAGATCGCAAAACTGTAAAACCACTCATGTTTGTAGTTTTATATCGTCCACCAGGCCCTTACTCTGAGTTTTTGGATCAGATCTCTGATTTTTTATCAGATTTGGTGCTAAATACTGATAAGTTCATTGTAGTGGGGGATTTCAACATTCATGTGGGCATTGAAAATGATAGCCTCAATGTAGCCTTTAGTAATATCTTAAACTCAATTGGTTTTCTCAAAGAATACATAGCTCCACCCACTCCTGCCATCATACATTGGACTTATGGCATTGAGTGTGAGGAAATAACAATCTTTCCACATAATCCAGTCCTCTCGGACCACTTTCTGATAACCTTTGAGTTTTTTTATAACTGAGTTCTCGAGACATGAAAGTAAATTTCATTATAGTCGGTCTCTATCTGACAACGCAGTTGCGTCTTTTAAATCAACTGTTCCATCTTTACTGTCCTCAGCATCTCAGAGGCATGTAGCAGAGGGCAATATTTTCATTTCTAGCCCCTCACAAATTGATGCCGTAGTTCATCATGTTAATTCCTCTTTACGTGTGGCATTAGATGATGTAACCCCTTTAAAAAAGAAGGTAATAAGGGACAGGAAGTTGGCTCCCTGGTTTAACTCTCATTTACGAGCCTTAAAACAAAACTCTAGGAAATTGGAGAGAACATGGCGCTCTACGCACCATGAGGAGGCCTACCTATCCTGGAAAAATAGTCTTGTGCTTTATAAAAATAAGCTTCAACAAACTAGAACTGCTTATTTTTCAGCATTAATTGAGGAGAATAAGCATAATCCTAAATTTATTTTCAGTACAGTTGCTAAACTTACACAGAATCATAGCTCTGAGCCACCTATTCCCTTAGCCCTCAGCAGCAATGACTTCATGGGATTTTTTACAAGTAAAATTAATTCCATTAGAAACAAAATCTTTAGCATCCTCCCTAATGCGATTTCTTCTTCCTCAGTAAGTGAGGCAGCATCAGAGGTGACTGTAGAACCTCATCTGTGCTTGAACCGTTTTGATCCAGTTGAGCTTTCAGAGTTATCAAAAATATTAGCTTAATCTAAACCTTCAACTTGCATTCTGGATCCAATCCCAACCAAATTATGTAAAGATGCATTTCCTTTGGTTACTGCCCCCATTCTAAATATAATCAATCTATCCTTAGTAAATGGGTATGTACCACAGGATTTTAAGGTTGCTGTAATCAAACCTTCACTTAAGAAGCCTTCTCTGGATCCAGATGACCCAATGAATTATAGACCAATATCTAACCTTCCATTTTTATCCAAAGTCCTGGAGAAAATAGTGGCCATCCAAGTATGTGAGCATTTAAACACTAATGCTCTGTTTGAGGAATTTCAGTCTGGTTTTAGAGAGTATCAAAGCACTGAAACTGCATTAGTGAGAGTTACAAATGATATTCTCATGGCCTCAGATAAGAATCTTGTGTCTGTTCTAGTCTTGTTAGATCTCAGTGCTGCCTTTGACACAGTTGATCACAATGTTCTTGTAGAAAGACTTGAACATGTTGTAGGGATCAAAGGAACAGTTGGTTTAAATCCTACCTGTCTGACAGATTTCATTTTGTAAATATACATGACAAATCGTCTTCATACTCCAGGGTTACTTGTGGAGTACCACAGGGTTCAGTGCTTGGACCAATTCTTTTAATTGAATTGAATTGAATCACCGGGATAAACGAGTGGAGGTGAAACGGCAACAAGTTTGGACACCAACCTCTGAACTGGCGGATCATGTTCTGGTGCTTCTCTATAGACTCCTGCAGGATGTTCTCAGCAGGATCCATTTTCCAGCGCCACTCTGTGCCCACAGGGTTGGTGTGATGTCTGTTGGTGGGGTGGAAAACAGCAGACGCTCAGGATGAAGCAAACATCTACCCAAAGCTGCCCCAGCTACTCCCCAGCTCCTCCTGGTGGGTCCCAATGGGTTCCTGGGACAGGGTGGAGACATCATCACTCCTGCAGGGTCTGGGTGTGTTTTGGAGTCTCCTCCCAGTGCCCAGAAAACCTCCAGAAGGAGGAAACCAGGAGGAGGCTGAACCTCCTCACCCGACTGCTTTTGATGCTGAGAAGCTGCAGCTTTGCTTCGAACTCCTCCTAGGCAACAGCTCGTTGCCGAGGCCGACCCTGACGTTCCTACAGAGGAACTTCAGGATCACGATCTTTTGGTTGTGATCCAAACTTTCAGTGAAGATTGGAACGCTAACTGACAGCAGTGAGAGCATTGTCCTTTGGACTGCAAGGACCGGGAGAACGTCCGAAGTACAGCAGACAAATCCCCAGAAATGCAAAACGGTGTCCGACTCGTGGTTCTCATCTCAAACTAAAACGGTCTTTTTACGTCCACAAGGGTCCAATTAACGTCCACAAGCCGTCTCACGCCCACAACCCATCATAACAAACATCCAAATGCCCTTCAGATGCCTCCTCATGTTGGCTTCAGACTTGCAGCACCGACCGGGACGTCAACGGTTAATGGCCTGCATCTGTTTAGCTCCTTCTCAGGGTTCTGCAACCCCCAAGGCGCTTCACAATACAATCAGTCATTCACACGCTGGTGGTGATGAGCTACGATGTAGCCACAGCTGCCCTGGGGCGCGCCGACAGAGGTGAGGCTGCCGAGCACAGGCGCCACCGGTTCCTCCGACCAGCAGGTAAGGCGGGTTAAGGGTCTTGCCCAAGGACACAACGGCAGCGTTCTCTGGTCGGGATCGAACCTGCAACCTCCTGATTTCTGGGCAACCCGCTCTCCCTCCTGAGCTGCTGCTACTGCTGACGTGTTTTACATCGACATCTTACCTGATCCCACAGGTGAAGAGTTGCCCCTCTGCCTATTAGGTCAGAGGTACCGCCCCCTAATCTCCCGTGTGTAGCTCCAACCAATAGCAGCTCAGTATGTTGTTCTATCACGTAACATCGCAAGAGGACCCCTGCTGGTCTGCTGCCGAGTAAGAACGACTCTGATTGGTGGATGGCTGCGTGTCATGTACCTTTAACACTAGACGAGAACACCTGACGTCCCCGAGGGACCTGCACAAACCTGACGTTGTGCCGCTCCACCAGCAGCCGCCATGAACCACCCGCCCTCTCACCGTGCAGATTAACTGCACCAACACACACGGAGTGTTAATAACACCAGTAAGGCAGCCCTGAGGCGCCAGTCCTTAAACATGACCATCGCGTACGCCGCCGCCGCTAACATCCACCTGCTGTGATGGAGCGCTGGAGGCAGCAGCAACAACACACCTGTGGCCTGAAAATACTTCACTCCTGTCATCTTGTATAACAGCTGTCGGAGAGACGGGCGTATCGGAGGCGACAGGAAGACGTTTCACCACAGCACGCTCCGACGGCGACCTTTGTAGAGGAAACCGGTGGGGAGAAAAAGCCCAGCTCTCCCACCGGCGCCATCATGAATCAGCGTCTCGGTTTAGGCCACGTGAATCTCCTGTGACTGATGACTTTTAGCCACCGACGAGGCCGTTTCCGATGGAGGGAATACTCTTACATCCAACCCGTAAACACAAGGATGAAAACTCACCTCCAGCAGAAGACACACTTGTTGGCGCAGGCAAGGCTGGGGGTGGTCTCCATGCAGCGGTGGGACTCGATCCCGTAGAAAGTGTGTTTGTAGCATCCTCCTCTTCCTCTCAGCATCGACTGACCCACAGAGAAAAACCTTCCTGTTTGGTTCCCTCGTGACAAACCCAGAGAGATGAAAGTCTGATTCTGTTACCTTAGTCCATCGGCAGAGCTTCACTCCGGAGTGACTTCCGATTAGTTTATATCCTAGAGGCCAAAAAACAATGCTTTCAAGACTTTAATCAGAGAGTGAATGATATTTTTAATAACGAATCATTTATAACATTCATGTTCAGTCGTCTTAGAAAAGATCCGACTTCTCCAGACACCTGATTTAGGACTTTAACGGGAAGGAAACGAGTCACTCCGTCCTTCCAGGAGATGCAGGATTAAACGCAGCTTTCTTCTTTTATCACACACCTGTCTCTAGTTCCTGTCCATCAGGACATTGTTATCTACACCACACAAGAAACGCCGGAATGTGCTTTCTTAGGAAGACTCTCTCAGGTCATTGTGTAGAAATGAAGTAAAAATGGCGTCCTGTGGTAAATCTGGTTACTGCGACCAGCGCTTCAGCGTTAGCTCGCAGGAGACACGACACCTCCACGTTCGCAGATGGTAAACGGTCGTTACGTCGCTCCTTCCTTCGGGAAAAGCCGAGAATCCCAGCAGCTGGATATGAAACATGTTCCAGAATAACCTTCCTTCCAACACGACTGAAACATCAGACTCTTTTGGGATTTTCTCACTATATTCTTACATACTGCACCTTTAAGGAGGTCTCTAAATAATAAAGAATAAACTTGTGATGGATTCAGACGGATTTTGCTTTGGTAGGACTTCCAGTTTACTGTTAGATAAATCAGATCCCCTTCATGAACGCTGAAAATCCTTCTTTTCCACTCAGTTTCCCAATTTTCCCAAAGTGGATGAAACAGAAAAAACAGGTTTTCTTCTCAAAATCAAATACTTGATGTTCAAACTGTGAAGAATTGAATAGGGTCATGGGTTTTGGTTCTGGATAACTTACTGTGATGATGGCTGACTGATTATCAACATTACCAGTCTATTATAAAGTATTAGTACTATTATAGTTATGATTGCTGTTATTGTTAATAGTCAATGTAATATTATTATTTACAGGAAAGATTAATGGCTCTGAGAATTGCATAAAACGTGCACGTTTTATTTTGAAAGGGGGTGGAAGTAAAAAGCATAAAAGGCCTCTGCTCCCTTGGGGCCACGGCTTTTTCTCTCTTATATTTGCATATCTCCTTCTGTTGTGTTTTTTAAATCATCTCAAGTTCAAATAAACGTAACAACAATCAAATTTATCAAAGGATCAGCTAAACGTTTAAAAAGTGAGATGTGTGTTTTTACTTAAAGGGACATTATGGAAGTCTGACAGCCAAAACATGTATAGAAATAATAAATGTCTTCTTCATACGTTCTCCTGCAATGCCCTGGTCCTGTAGAATGAGCCCTGGCATTTTTACTGTGATTGCCTGTTTTTCTGTAAAATCACAGAAAAAGAGAGATGCTCGGGTCGAGCAGGCTGCTTCATGCGCGTTCACGCTCAGGCATCGCCCGTAGCATTTGCTATCCGTAGCTTTAGCAGCAGAGAGAGAGGCAGTGCCACTTTGTCGCTGTTCCTAACGCCTAGTGACAAAGCTAGCTACATTTCTGAGGACCCTTAGCTACTTTCTGTAGAACTTTCTTCTAGATATTTCCTGCTAATTAGCAACAAAATAGCCATTTTCACTCCGAACCGTCCTTTGGTTTGACGTTGTTTCAGCTGTCATCAAGGATATAAACGTTACAGATACAAAGGATGTCACTGGTGCTTTAGCTCACCTAGTAAGATGTCTGACTCTCGTGCAGGAGACCTGGGTTCAACTCCAGTTGTGGACTTGATTTGTCATTTAGGGTTTCTTTTTTACATTAATGGTATATTTTTTTTACAGTAAGATGCCCAAATTTTTATTTGAGACTCGCCGAACGGCATTGAATTCACAGATAAAAAAGATGTGGGTTCAACTTTCATTTTGGAACAATTTTTCAAGCAAGGGAAGGGAATGATCTGAGCATGCAGGAGGACTGACCCATCATAAACCTTTGTCGGCTGTGCTGAAGAGAAAGGTACAGAACCACATTATTTAATTAATTAGCTGCATGTTCTCCTGTCCTCTGTCCTCCGGGACACACACACACACACACACACACACACACACACACACACACACACGCACGTACGCACGCGTGTGTGCGACAGCCTTTAAGAACCCAAACTCAATTTTTAAATACATAAACATGAATATTTGCTTTTCCAGCTGATTTATATTCTAACTGCTAAACTTTACACCAACAAGTAAATAAAAAAAGGCATAAAGACTAATTTTCTTGCTCAAAACACCCAAAAGAGGAGCCGAGTCCGTTTATTTCTACCGCGCCACATCACGACTTACACACCGAACAAAAATAATAAATGAAGTGTTTGGCTGATGTTTTATTTTTATTTAAATAGCAAAGAAAACTTTAGTTTGAATTAGTACCAGTTAAAAGGTTTAGATGTTATATTTGGGAGGGACGTCCCTTTAACGGAGATGAAATAATACTAATGAGTTATTATTATAAACAGTGAGCAGGAAACCATTCAGGCCGAGCTGTGTGTTGTTGTCACACACGCTGTAATCCTTTTGAGGTTTAATAAAAATAAACTATAAGGAACTCGACGCTGGAACGGTCACAATAAACCTGAACCACTACCTAATAAAACCTGATTTTGGTGAATTATAGCTTCATTGACACTCAGAAATCCTCCCAGATTAAGATTTTAATCCCCACCTTGCTTAGTCAGCGCTTCCCTTAGAGCAGGAGTGATCATCTCTCTTCTTTCTCCGTCGTCTTCAGTCTTCTTCCCTCCGTTCATCTTCACCATCTGGCCTTCGTCGTTCTCCGCTTTGCTCTACGAATAAGACCATCTCATTGATTTATTACATCATTTACTGAAACGCACAGGAAGACCTGCAGAGTTAAAGCAAACTCAGCATTAATATTCATGCTGTAATCGTGCTCAAGACGTTTTAATGAAGGCAACATCTACATGTTCTAGATGTTAGAACGGCTGCAGGATGCAGGTCCCAGAAGGTACCATTAGTTTAGAAACTCATTCCATTTCATCCAAAACAAGAGAAATTCAACCTAACTGTTGTTTTATATTAAATATTGAGGTTTTTCCCGGTTTCTGCATCGAAACTGGAACAATTCACGACTCTTCAGTCTTCCTGCAGACCCTCAGAGGTTTCTGATTTCAGTCATTTTGTTCTTGGATGTCTCACGACATCCCCAACCAACACATCTGAGGCTTTAAATGGAAGCAATAGTTGATGCAAAAGCTTATCTTCTGTTATGGAAACAATTCAGTAAAATGTGTCATCTCTGACCCAAATGTTCATAACGGTGGAAGACGAGGCCGTATTCTGTTGCATCTCTGTCTGAGGTGATTTTTGCAGAGCAAAGCTGCCCTCCTGGTGGAGGGTAACTCTGAAGTGCCTTTTTTTCCCTCCACCTGAACCAATCCTCATGTAACCCTCTGATCTCTATTAAGGTAGCGTGACTCAGGGTTGTGAATGACCACAGTCACCAATTCCTGTCACGTGTCTTGCCCATGTATGTCTGACCTCTGAATTGTGCGTACTGGAACTCTAATTTCCCTCTGGGATTAATACAGTATTGATTGATTGATTGATTGATTTGGAGTTCCACTGAAACAAACGCTGGATTTCTACCAAAACACCTGACTGGTTTGCTGCTAGAGCTGCTGAAACCCATTTCTGTGACAGATGAACTCCTAAATCCAGGATTATGTTGTTGTAATTTGCCATTTGCTGCATGCACAACGGTCGCCAGGGCAACAGAAGCAGAAGATGTGGTGGACAACCTGCCAGTTTAGGATCAACTATGACAACTTCACCCAATTACTGCAATGCTGCCACTTCTTCAGCGGGTCTTTAGGGATTTCTGTGTCACCGCGTCAGAACAGAACCTCCAACAGCATGTGGTTCTGTCGGTATTTTACAGGTGAAGTCCTGCAGAGCTGAGGCGGTGCGGATTCCTGCTCCAGGGGAACATTCCCCCGCATGGCTTCATCATCTGAAAGCTCAGCTGGCCAATAAAATAACTAAACATAGTGAATAACGGCCATTTGTAAGTATATTAGTTTCTTAGACACGACAGTCTCTGATCCACAGTTTGGTGATTTGAAAAATTAATGTAATTATAAACAGTCTTCTCTCTAAATAATTTATCCCTTGCTTCTATTAATGGGTCGTATGCAACACTGACAGATCTGAGATGAGCAGCTTGTTTAAACTCGAGATATTAAGAGTTTCTGTCAACACGGCGTGTGGATAAACTGTCTCCCTGCTCTGTGATCCTTAAGTGCTGCCACCTAGCAGTCGGTGTTAGAATGACACCAAACAAAAGGAACGCAGGTGAGAAAGTTTGTTTGCGTCAGTAATTCAGCCTAAGAGGTGAAACTCACCTACGAGACCGACTCGTTACGCATAACGCCCGATATTTAACCCTTTATAACTGGGATGATTACGGCTTACAGCCGATGGAAACCCCACAGGCTAAATCTCAGACAACTAGAATATAGTGAAAATAATCTAGACTCAACGTTAGTCTCAGCAGCTGATGAATCCAGATGCCTGCAGGAGGTTCCTGAGCCTTTAGATGGTCTCTCAGTCTGAGTTGCATTACTGACATAATCTGACTTTTACACCAGATTCTCTTTTTTACTGTTACACAATAAATGTTTGCATTTAATTACCAATAAAAAAAACAGCTGACTGCTTTTAAACACTGATTTGGTCTCGTCACATGAAACATCACGATGCTTAACCAGACCGGTACTTTCTCACATCCAGAGCAGCCACTTAGGCAGTATGACGCCTGTAGTACGAGAGTACTTTGTGAGTACGAGTACATGACCATAGTATCAGAGAGCACGTCTGTAAGGGTTAGGGTTCACCCTGGTCCTGGAGGGCTAGCATCCAGCATGTTTTAGTGGTTTCTCTGCTCCAACACACTTGATTCAGCAGCTGATCAGCAGAAGCCTGTCGGTCAGGTGCGGATTAAATCAGGTGTGTTGAAGCAGGATTCCCCACCCTGCTCTAAAGCCTCCCAGTCCATTACAAGTTTTTAAAATACGGACCAATCGGAAGTCTTCATGCGGTTTTCCTGAACTGGAATTTCCTTTGATTTCTGTCACAAACAGCAGGAATCTTCTTCAGCGGGACATGACCACTTCGCTCCTTGAGCTTTGATAAAATCTGGGATCATATCTCCACCCTCTGGTTTTTCTGCTCCTCACGAGTCACTCGTTCCTTACAAATCTGTGAAATGACTCAAGCCTCCCCTCCTCGTCCATTTTCAACCCATCTGCCAGTTTTCCTTCAATGACACCATCTTTTTCCTTTTCAAGCTCAGAATAGAAGAAGCTTCCAGGTCTGAACGTAGAACTACTGAAAATAGACCCGCTGAGAGCGAACTGCAGAGCTATGCTTTACTGTGACAGGACGGCGCTGTAAAAAACACGCCACACACGTTTCTGCTCAGTGTGATGACTCGTGCGGATCAACATGAGCCGAGCCTGACCTTTGCCTTCTTGGCGCTGGTCATGATGTTGCCCAGGTCCTCCACATCCACCACCGAACCGGAGGTCCTCTCGTCGGCCAATCCAGACTCGTCTTCTTCGCTGCTCGATTCGATCCGATCCACCTGGAACATCAAAACCTTCATGTTTCTGCTCTCAGTGCCTGAGGAGGCCGTCTGCTCTTCAGCGGCACCGCAGAGGAACTGTTGACGGTTGAGCTTCTGCTCACGTAACAAAACCAACCACGGAGTAGACCAGTCAAAAATCGCCGGGTTGAAAGTTACTGCAGGCCACAAACTTCTATTTTCATTCTGCAGAGCATCAACAGTGCATTAAACTCACAGAAGCAGGAAGTGGTTTGTGTTTTTAGAGCCTTTCTAAGTTCGAGGCATAAAAATGGCTTGAAAGCCACAGAATAACCTGCGTCTGGCGTTCCTGTGGCGTTTGCTGCAGGTGAGCAGATGCGTGCGCTTCTTTTTGCTTCCTAAATCTCCTGCAAGGTTAATGGAAAAGCTGAGCCGTGCTTGGAAAACTAAATAAAATTAATTGTAGGTTTTCTCTAAAAGAATTAACCGTCAACACGAGCGATGTTGGGTTAGGGTTAGGCGCCTCCGGGAGCCTCGTCTGCCGCCGGCACGACGCTGCGCCCATTTCTGGACACTTTCTGCCGGCTCAGGGTTGTATCCGTCACGGTTTTTTATTTATAGTTTGTAGTCAAGTCGCCCAAAAAGCTCTCCCTGGGAATGTTTTGGCCTAAAGGAGGAAATTTTAAATTCAGTTACAGGTTCAACATCCAGCTCTCGTCTGAGATTTGGATCCGTTTCCTGTTGCTTCAGAAACAGGAAACAAGCGTAGGAAAAGAGGAGCATGAGGACGACAACAAGATGCTCCTGAGGACCGTTAGCTGTGCTTTCACCGTTCACACCAGGGGTGTCAAACTCACACGGGGCTGAAATGAAAATCTGGGACGGAGTCGCGGGCCGAACTTAATAATTTTTGAAAAAGTGACGGCAAATTTGCACATTTTCTTTATCAACATAAATGCAATTTTGAACCTTTAAATTTGGAAACAAACTTATTTCTGCATTAACACTGAATGTGGAATAACCAGATTACACACGAACAAGTCAGTTTTAAATAAAAGGCATCAGTGGTATTCATTACTTGTGGTATAATCAGCATTTTTAAAATCTATTCAGGATTTATGTTTCCTTGTTTATTCATATTTCTTATTTCTTATTCTCCTTTTTTTCTCCTGTAATACGTGTCATCGCTGCTGTGACGTCTAGCTTTCCCCACTGAGGAACAATAAAGGGATTTTCTATTCTATTCATCTATCTGCAGCCTTTCCACTTCCTGTTTACTGTAGGTTACATCTTTTCTCACGGGCCAACAACAAAATAAAAATATCATTTTATCTTAAATGAAAATGCAACATCTCACCTGTTAACTTTCATGTTTTGGAGCAGAAAAAGAGCATCAAACCAACATATTTAAAGCTCAGTTTGCTCCACTGGTTTACTGTGATGCTCACCTGTTCCAGCCAGATACCTGCATCATGGGGTTGATCTGAGCTGAGGAGGAGACTCCTGTTGTTTTGTTCATCTTCATCATAATAATGACAACATTAGATGACAACAGGTGCTCACATAGGTTTGTGCTGATGAACATGTCTGAGCAGCTTGACCACGTTGTTGTGTGTCGGGGAGGAAACACGACAGCAGCCACAGAGCCGTGCTGGTTTGAGCGTGTCGCTGCTCGCTGGAGTTATATCGGCTCTGTCTGGAAGTTAGTGGGAAAACTTTCGTGAACACGTTACTGAGCGGTTAAAATCTCCGTTTCTGGGCTTCAACGTCGGCAAACAGCTGAATAAACTCGGCGCTGAGCGAGAGGAGTGTTTAGTTTGTCCGAGACAGCGGAGCTGCAGACACTGGCAGCAGACGCTGGAAAAAACACAAAGGAGGGGGCGCTTAGGCTCCACGCTAAAGCTGCTAAGCATCATGGGTGTTGAAGTCTTTGCTGTAAAATCGGCCAGCGGATCACTTTTAATAAATTTTTTATATTTATCTCGCGGGCCACATAAAGCTTGTGTCTGACACGTGTGGTTTACAGGATGATGGTAACAAAGACAAAAACTCCCAGCAGGAATGAATCCCTCCAGGAAGCATCGCCATTGGTCATGCTTCAGCTGCAGCCAAAGCAAAATGTCTGACGTGCTAAAAACAACCATTTATGCTCCAGAAGGAACACCAAACCCATGAACCCAACCAGGTCACAACTATTACACAGATCTGAGCAGATGTAGCTAGTTCCTCTCCCTCCCTCTCTGAAACATGCAGAAAATGGACACGTTACCTCGGCGCTGGCATCCTGTGAAGTAACCTCCTCGTTCTTGTCCTTGCAGGAACTGCCGCCCTTGCACTTCCCGCTGCAGCTCTTCTTCTCACCTTTCGCCAGAGCCTGGAGACGGCTCAGGAGGTTGACCTTCCACGCCTGGAAGTCTGCCTGAACGTTACCGTGGCGACTCTTCACCACGTTGCAGTCGCCCTCCCCCCTTGTTAAGATTCGCTTTGCGCTCAGCATCCACAGCCACTTGTCAACGTTCTTACCCACCTGGAGAGGAAGGAAGCAGAAGTTAACCCCAACTCGACGTTTTATGACGCTAAAGCAGAAACTCGTTCTCACCGTGTTATAATGACCAACGTAGACCGAGTTTCCCAGGCCAAACACGGCGTACCTCAGGCCTTTCAGGTAGGACTTCCCATACCTGAAGTCAGTGGATGCCTCTTCCAGCCACTTGCAGAACCATTCAGCGTTTTCCGTGGGCCGTCCATCCGTGTAGGTGGCCACCAGAAACACACACACAGACCTGCCCACACACTGAGAGGAGATCATGTTAAAGATGGCGGCGCTGGGAAGGAGCAGAAACACAAAAACTGGACAAACTTTTAGAAATAAACACTATTTCATTATAAAAGGAGGGATTTATAATCCTAGACCTGTATAAATAAATTAGATATTTGTATACTTAATAAATAAAAGTTAATCTAGGTTAATCTGGAACAATAAACACACTGGAGAAGTGAAATTATCCTCTTCAACCACGTAAAAGCATGAGGGCGTCTGGGTAACGAGTCACAGCACGCAGCATCTGGCGCGTGTCCATCCATCCATTCATGGTCTCTTATCCGAGACCGGGCCGCGGGGGCAGCAGCCCAAGCAGGGAGGCCCAGACTTCCCTCTCCCCAGCCACTTGGGCCAGCTCTCCATCTCCAGGGTGGGTAGTCTGAGCTGTAGTTTGGTGCATAAGCACAGAGCAGTCAGGACCCGCCCCCCACACGTAGCCGGAGGGAGGCTACCCTCTCGGGTAAACTCTAGCGTACAGGCACCAAGATGGGGGGCAACTAGTACGCCCACCCCTGCTCGGCGCCTCTCAGAGGGGGAAACTCCAGAGTGGTAGAAAGTCCAACCCCCCTCAAAGAAACGGGTTCTGGAGCCAGAGCCATGCGTTGAGGTGAGTCCGACTATATCTAGTCGGAACCTCTCAACCTCACACACCAACTCAGGCTCCTCCCCCACCAGAGGTGACATTCCATGTGCCAAGAGCCAGCTGCTGTAGCCGAGGATCAGACCGCCAAGGTCCCCGCCCTCGACTACCACCCGTCACACACTGCACCTGACTCCTTTGGCCCCTCCCACGAGTGGTGAGCCCATGGGAAGGGGGACCCACGTTTCCTCTGCGGGCTGTGCCCGGCCGGGCTCCGTGGGTGAAAGCCCGGCCGCCAGGCGCTCGCCGGTGTCTCGTTGATTAAATAGGAGTTCTGTTCTCTGCGGCACTTCGCTCACCTCATCTGCAAGCCGATCGTCGGGGTCGTAGTTCTTCATGTCGACCACCTCAGCGGTTATACCTAAAGCCTCAATCTCCTCTGAGAGCTCTTCAGCAAAGCCCTAAAAAATAAAGCTGCTGTTAAATTGTGTCTAAAACGCTTGTTTATAAAATCTGAAAGAACAGATTCAGACAGTGCTGAACTGACTCTACTTAAAGAGCAAGTCATCCCCAAATCAGCGTTTCCCTGATAAACTATATAAATGTGTGTCTAATCGTGCTGCAGACACGTGTCGTCAATAGTTTTGCACTTTAGTGCATTTTAGTTAAAACTTTAATCTTCTGTCTAAAACTGTCAGTGTTGTGCTGTTGTCAGGTAAAAACTCTGCACTGCATCTGAATGTAAATCTGTGTGTGTGTGTGTGTGTGTGTGTGTGTGTGTGTGTGTGTGTGTGTGTGTGTGTGTGTGTGTGTGTGTGTGTGTGTGTGTGTGTGTGTGTGTGTGTGTGTGTGTGTGTATTTGTTAGTGGCTCCGCCCTCTCGGTCTGCTAGGCAACAGCATTTGTTGCATTTTTCACACAGGAAGTGGGAGCTGAGTAATACTCTGGTGGGGGGTGACTTGCTCTTTAAAAGGGTTTCTCCACCATACGTTTCTGTGTAAAAGTTATAAATAATTATTATTGGTCCACTTTGATCTCATTTGATAAAATACCAGCATTTCCTGCTGTTAAATGAAAACAAAGCAAGCAGTGTTGCCAACTCAGCGACTTTGTCGCTGTTCCTAACGACTTTTTGACCCCTCTCAACGACTTTTCTTCCAAAAAGCGCCTAGCGACAAACCTAGCGACATTTCTCAGGACCCGTTGCTACTTTCTGTAGAACTTTCTTGTAGATATTCCCCACAGATTAGCAACAAAGAAACCACTCTGAACCGTTCTTCCGGGAGTAAGGAAAGAGAACGATAATCTGCACATGTGCACGAGGACTGACCAATCATAAACCGTTTTCGGCCGGGCCGATTCGCCGAAGACAAAGGTACAGCTGCAGAGCTGGAGACCGCCGATTTACGTCTGCTGCTGCTGCAGGCTCACGCTTCTACTAGAGATGGCGCGGGCGTCAACCTGCGATCTCTGGTTCTGCAGCCGTCAGACACTTTGGCTTTTCCTGCATTTGGCAAATAAAGTCAGCGGGAGTTTGAACTACCGTCCCGTTTACACACGCAGCTCTGTGGCTCATCTGAATTTCCTTCAGAGACACAGGGATGGTTATACCATGAGACACCCACTCCCTTTTGCTCGGAGCGCCGTTATTGTCACGATGGAGAGAAAACACAACAGAGAAGTAGAGAAACTATGAGGTGTAAAAAACAGCTTTTTAGGAAAATGTCTGTGAGAATGAGGAGAGCGGGAGGTCTGAGTTATATCCTACAACAGAACTGTTTGGATCACCACACCATATCTGTTTTAATGCCACTTTATTGGTAGTTTTGGAATTCGTTGTACATATCAAAGCAATTTGGGCCATTTTAATCATACTAATTAATAACTGTAACACATAACATAGTATTTGTTATTTTCCTCCCTTTTAGTCCTATATATATATATATATATATATATATATATATATATATATATATATATATATCTTTTAGATGCTATGGGGGAAAATGAACGCCAATGTGACGTGATGATGTCATCAATATGTAAATTAGCACGTGCCGTCACCTGGCGACATCTAGCGATTTTGGGGGGAACTTCAGCTTCTTTCAGTCAACAACAGTTGGCAACACTGGTAGCAAGTGAGCGTCCACGCTGTGGGATCAGTGAAGTCAGTTCTACTCTGTTCTGATGTGGGTTAGCTTAGCTATCTAGCATTTGGAGATAACACAATAACAGACAACTTAACATTTCTTTACTTGTATTTCTGATATAAAACACTACGACTACGAGCTTTCTGCGCTGACGTTCAGACTGTAATGCTTTGTGACAACGTCCAGGTACTTTTTCCATCGACTTCTGTGAAATTAAAAGCTTTGAGGAGTTTTAAAGTGGCAGCAACACTTTTTAACCTTAGCTGCACTCAAACTAGCCGTAACTAAAATTAATTTATTAATTAGCCGTAATTAAAATAACAATTTAAAGTCGAAATCATTTAAAACTCATAGTTGCTTTACGACGATAAGGTTGCTCTCTTTGATTCTAGCATTTGGTCATAAACCCAGACATCCACCATCAGTTAGGATCCTGAAAATGATTTCTACTACAGTCCAGCATGTTTTACCTTCATTAGTCTGAAATAATCACTCATGTACCTTTGCTGTCCCCGTCTGTGAGCCGAAGAAAACTTTAACTCCCGACACGTGAACCTCTGGGTCTCTGTTGGAGGTGCAGCTTGGACCTGCAGAGTCTGTGTGTTTCTCCTACAACAAAGCAGAGACTTAAAGGTAAATAATGATAGTCATTACAAAATACTTAAAGAGTAAGTCACCCCCTACCAGAGTCTTACTCCACTGCCACTTCAAGTCTGAAAAATGCAACAGATGCTGTTGCCTAGCAGACCGAGAGAGCAGAGCCGCTAACAAACACACACACACACACAGGCTCACAATGACATTGTGACATCATAATGTACCAGCTAACTTCATCGTGTACCTCTTAGCCAATAGGGATGGCAGTTTTATATTCAAATGCAGAGCAGAGTTTTTCCCTGATGAGGGCACAACACTGACGGTTTAAAGCAGAATATTTAAATTTTAACTAATTATTGACACTACGTGTCGGCCGCACAGTTAGACTTGTTTATATTATATTATATATATACATATATTATAGACTCGTTTATATTATATTATATATATATATACATATATTATAGACTCGTTTATATTATATTATATTATATATATACATATATTATAGACTCGTTTATATTATATTATATATATACATATATTATAGACTCGTTTATATTATATTATATATATACATATATTATAGACTCGTTTATATTATATTATATATATACATATATTATAGACTCGTTTATATTATATTATAGATACATATATTATAGACTCGTTTATATTATATTATATATACATATATTATAGACTCGTTTATATTATATTATATATATATACATATATTATAGACTTGTTTATACAGTTTATCAGCAAAAAAAGTTGATTTGGGGGTGACTTGCTCTTTAAAAGCCACTTTGACTAATTCAATTCAAAAATACTTTATTAATCCCAGAGGGAAACTGATTGCTGTAGTAGCTCAGAATAATAATAATAATCAAGTCATCAAAGAGGTGTTGTATATTACAATGGCTGTTGGCAGGAAGGATCTCCAGTAGCGGTCAGTGTTGCAGCCAAACTGAAGAAGCCTCTGACTGAAGACACTCTTCCGTTGTCGGACAGTCTTGTGAAGAGAATGCTCAGGGTTGTCCATCATTGTCTTGATTCTCTGGAGAATCCTTCTTTGCATCATCTCCTCCAGCGGTTCCACAGTCGTCCCCAGAACAGAACCAGCCTTTGTTATTAGGCTGTTGAGCCTTTTCAGGTCCCTGCTTCTGATGCTGCTACCCCAACAGACGATGGCTGAAGAGATTACACTCTCAACAACAGACTTGTAGAAGATCTGCAGCATCTTGCTACAGACATTGAAGGACCTAAGCGTCCTCAAGAAGTGCAGTCTGCTGTGTCCCTTCTTGTAAACGGCTTTGCTGTTCTTTCTCCAGTCCAGTCTGTTGTCCAGGTGAACTCCAAGGTATTTGTATTCCTCAACCACCTCCACTTCTTCTCCCATGATTGAAACAGCGTTTGACTCCACCCTGTTTCTTCTGAAGTCTAAAATCATCTCCTTTGTTTTGTTCACGTTCAAGGTCAGATGATTGTTTCCACACCATGCCACAAAGTGCTCCACCAGCTCTCTGTACTCAGCTTCCTGTCCATCTCTGATACACCCGACAACTGCAGAGTCATCTGAGTATTTCTGTAGATGACAGGTCTCTGATTTGTACTGGAAGTCTGAGGTGTACAGGGTGAAAAGGAATGGTGAGAGTACAGTCCCCTGTGGTGCTCCAATGTTACTGATCGCCTGGTTTGATGTGCAGTTCTTCAGCCTCACAAACTGTGGTCTGTTTGTCAGCTAGTCTTTAATCCAGGTGATAGTTGAGGCCCCCACCTGTGTCTTCTGGAGTTTCTGGCAAAGTACATCAGGCTGGATTGTGTTAAATGCACTGGAGAAATCAAAGAACATGACCCTGACAGTGCTGCCTGCTTTGTCCAGATGACAGTGGGTTGGTTGAAGCAGCTGGATGATGGCATCTTCAACTCCAACTCCATGGTGATAAGCAAACTGCAGCGGGTCCTGATATGTTCTAGATTGTATATTCATGTGGACCAACAGGAGTCTCTCCAGGACCTTCATGATATGGGATGTCAGGGCAGAACTGGAAACACTTGTGGACCACTTCAAGCCTGTCCTGGAGACCTCTGGTGTCCACGCTGAAAGCATTTCTGACCAGTGGACTGCCCTCAAGTCGCTCGTGTATCGAGAGCCTGGGTCCCTGCTGAAGATGTCATGGATCGCTGTAAACAGACGCTTTCAGCATTCCTGCCCTGATTTGCTGGCAGTGATCGACCTGGTGCTGTCCCTCCCTCCGTCAAATGCTGAGTGTGAAAGAGGCTTTAGCACCATGAAGCAAGTTAAAAATGACTGGAGGTCCAATATGAGCCCTGACACACTTTCAGATATTCTCATGGTGCAGCTGTGTTCTCCAGAGATCAAGGACTATGACCCAAATGAGGCTGTAATGCTTTGGCACAAAGACGGAGTCAGAAGCAGGAGGCCAGACTTCATGGACAGAGAAAACAAGGAGTCTGACTAGATTTCAATGAAAGAGTTCATAAAAACGTCTCTAAAAATAAATAAATAGTAAAATGACAAGAGAGTTGTTTTTCTTATTAAGTGATGTTTTAATTATTTTGTCACTCTGTTTGGAATCAGCATAATATAGAATAACATGCTTTAGGTAGATCTAAATCATTTGGAAATTTGGCCGGTAAAAAATATTCTTGGCCGGTACATTTTCATCATCTACCGGCCAACTTGGCCGGTGAGTCAAAAATGTTATTTCGGACCCTGCCTGGATGGCACCATCTGTTGTTGACAAGCAGTGCCACTCCACCTCCTTTTCTTTCCCCGCTCCTCTTCAGACCTCGGTCTGCTCGTAAAGTCAGGAATCCTGGCAGAGAGACGCTGGAATCAGGGATATGGTCCTGCAGCCACGTCTCACTGAAACACACAACACTGCACTGCCAAAACTCTGGCTGAGTCCTTGAAAGGGCTTGGAGTTCCTCCATCTTGTTGGCCAGTGATCTCACATTGCTCATTATGATCGATGGAGGAGATGGTTTGAATTTCCTCTTTCTCTGTCTCCGTTTTGCTCCCGCTCTGCACCCACGCTTCTTGCATTTTAGCTCATTTGGGATTTGTGGCTTCAGTTGAGGTGTTATTTCAGCCTTTCCAATGTTAATCAGCTGCTCCCGATTGTAAACAGCTTATTGCCATGGTTACGCATCATAACAAATGCTCAAAAAGTGAAAAAATAGCAGTAAAAATCCTCCAAGCTTCACAGCACCAGAAACAGGAACGTAAAATGTCCCAAAACATACAGTTTTTCTTAAGATGCTAGCAGAAAAAACGACCAAAAAAGGCTAAACTTACATGTAGTTAACAGAGCTACTCCAACATGCAGCCACCCAGAGCAGCGCGAGAACTGAATTATATATAATTATAGAATATAGAATAATATAGTATATAGAATAATAGAGAAGAAGGGAGGAGGAGGATGAAGAAGAAAAAACACCAGAAAGATTAACAGGAAGCTGTGTCGAACTAAAACAGGTGTGAACACAATGAAGCCACATCTCACCTGCTGCGTCACCTTCAGGAGGAACCAGGTCCCAAAAACTAGCGCAGCGGCAGAATAAACGTACAGCCTGTTGGTCCACACCCACAGGAGATAACTCTCACCGGGCCTCGGGGCTTCCTGCTGAGCTGTAGAAAGAAAAACACCACGAGCTGAATCACCAGAGCAGGAGCAGAGACAAGATGTGACTCATGCTAACCCTGAGCAGGTTTTAAACCCCCAACCCGGAGGTTTGGCTAAATCCGTTTTCTGTTCCAGTAAAGGCGCTAATAAACGTACCGTTAGTGTCCGAGGAGGCCGCATGAGCCGTGATATGGGACAGAAATAGGAGTAAACGAAGCATCGCTGCTAAAGCTCAGAGTGATCAAATACTGCTCGTGCCATAGTACGCAGCCATATTGTTTAACCGAACTGAATTCTGGGATGTGTAGTCTTTGGATGGTTTGTCGGAAAACAAACAAAACCCCGAAACAAACATCAAATGGTGACTTAAATGCAGAAGCAAAATCGTAAAAAACATCAACAGCGACTTGACTTTCTACTCCTACTATTTATATTTGTTTTATCCAACTGTGCGTAGAAAACTTTATAGTTTTACTTTGAAAGCGGATGGAGGCGCTTATCCTTTCAGAAACTTTATTGAACATTTTGAGACGCCGAAGTCACGTTGATGCAGTCTGCTGGTTTTCTTACATAGCAAACTTTAAACTGACTAGTGAACTGAACTCAGAGCACTGATTAGTAGGTTCAACTGGAATGTTTGCTTTGTAAAGCTCCTTGTGAACACTTGCGATTAACCTTGCAATGATCAACTTTATGATTAAAATAACTGCTTTGTTGCTCTCGTGGACACCTAAAATAAATATCTAAATATTTTAGGTGAAAACCTCCAGATTGTCTGAAACATTCTACGTCACAGTTTGTTTTATGCTGGTACTTACAGGAATGTAGTGTTCGTGTTATATCATTTTAACCCCTGATGACCATTGTACGAAACTGCGTCATAACAATTAACCCCACTGATGCTAGCACTAGCTAGAACCTCCTGTGTTGATTTTCAAAATAAAGGTAAGCAGTTTTCATTTTTGCTCGAAATGTATTTTAAAAAATAATAAAGTGTTTCAAAACCCTTTCAATCACTGTATTTTATACATTCAGATGCTAATTCCAAACACACAATCATCAGTGACTATTTGGCTCGGCTGAAATGCACTCCGATGCTTTTAGGCAGCGGAACCGTTGTTTGCACTTCCGTGTTTCTCACCGAGAGCGCACTTTGAGTGAGCACACACCAGCGGTGTGTTGGTACCGTTTTGTTTTGATTTCGGATGCGTTTTGGACACGTTTTCGTGCCTTCTAAAACACAATAATGTCTATATTTACCCCCACAAACCAAATCCGGCTGACTAACGTGGCGGTGGTACGGATGAAAAAGGGCGGGAAGCGTTTTGAGATCGCTTGTTACAAGAATAAAGTCGTGAGCTGGAGATCTGGAGCGTGAGTAACTTTAATAAAAAGCTACGTTCAATGCTCCAAACGCATCAAAAGGATGGATTTAACTAAGTTTACAACACTTGTTTATCAGTTCAAACGTCGCGCTGAGTTCGCTGTATCTGCAGAGGTAAAAACGTGTTTGTTTTTGTTTTCCTTCAGAGAAAAAGATCTGGATGAGGTTCTGCAGACACATTCTGTTTTTGTTAATGTGTCTAAAGGCCAGACGGCCAAGAAGGACGATTTAATTAAAGCTTTTGGGACTGAGGATCAGACAGAAATCTGTAAACAGGTTTGTCTTCTTCTGGATTATGTCACTAAATATCTAGTGGGGGTTGTTTACCTGACGTTTGTTTTTCGGCTCAGATTTTGGCCAAAGGGGAGCTCCAGGTGTCAGACAAAGAGAGGCAGACCCAGCTGGAGACGATGTTCAGAGACATCGCAACAATCGTGGCAGAGAAGTGTGTTAACCCTGACACCAAGAGGCCTTACACCGTCAGCCTGATCGAGCGAGCCATGAAGGACATCCACTACTCTGTCAAGACCACCAAGAGCACCAAGCAGCAGGTGAGACGCGCCGGGAGCTTCATGCAGCCCCAAATCAGAAAACATCAGGAGACGAGAGGAAATATCCGTAGGAAAGCTTCGTATTTCAGGTCTCCAACACATCCCTACAGACCTTGTTTCCTCTTCTAATGTCCTGACTTTGTCTCAAAGGCAGCAGGTGTTGCGGTAAAATCTGTCCCCCGTAGACACGGCTGGTTTTTAAAAACATGTTTTAATAGTGTTGACTCTAAATTGTCCCAGTTGAATCATTTAGGGTTGTGGTTGCGGAAACAGAAAATGTTTTTAATCACTTTAAAAAAGTAAATCTAAGAAAAAATCTAATCTCCTGGATTATTTAAACTGGAGGGTGATGACTCACGCTGGTTCGTGTTTTCTGAACCTGGGAGGACTTTGGTGTTAAAAATATCAAATGAAACTAGATGAACTATTTCTTGCAGGAATGCTGTTTGAATGCTGTTTACTTGGTTACCGTGACTACGGTGCCTCAAAGATTAAATTCCTATAGTTGTCACACATCGTGTGGTGTGAAGAAATTAATCTCTGCATGCGACCCATCCATGTGGGGAGCGGCCGCTGCAGCGGTGGCTACGCTCAGGAACTAGTTGGTGGTTTAACCCCCAACCCCTTAAGCCACCGTGGTCGGACTCATCTCAACAGGGGATGAGTCGGACTACAGAGATTCAGTTCAATTCAAAAATACGTTATTAATCCCAGAGGGAACCTGATTGCTGTAGTAGCTCAGAATAATAATAATAATCAAGTAAAAGAGGTGTTGTATATTACAACGGCTGTTGGCAGGAAGGATCTCCAGTAGCGGTCAGCGTTGCAGCCAAACTGAAGAAGCCTCTGACTGAAGACACTCTTCCGTTGTCGGACAGTCTTGTGAAGAGAACGCTCAGGGTTGTCCATCATGTTCTTGATTCTCTGGAGAATCCTTCTTTGCATTATCTCCTCCAGCGGTTCCGAAACTGCCGAAACTCTGGCTGAGTCCTTGAAAGGGCTTGGAGTTCCTCCATCTTGTTGGCCAGTGATCTCACATCGCCCGTTATGATCGATGGAGGAGATGGTTTGAATTTCCTCTTTCTCTTTCTCCATTTTGCTCCCGCTCTGCACCCACGCTTCTTGCGTTTTAGCTCATTTGGGATTTGTGGCTTCAGTTGAGGTATTATTTCAGCCTTTCCCATGTTAATCAGCTGCTCCCGATTGTAAACAGCTTGTTGCCATGGTTACGCATCATAACAAACGCTCAAAAAGTGAAAAAAGCTAAAGAATAGCAGTAAAAATCCTCCAAGCTTCACAGCACCAGAAACAGAAAAGTAAAATGTCCAAAAAATACAGTTCTTCTTGAGAAACTAGAAGAAAAAATGTCCAAGAAAAGGCAAAACTTACATGTAGTTAACAGAGCTACTCCAACATGCAGCCGCCCAGAGCAGCGCAGTTCTGGAAAGGATGAGGTCAACAGAGCGGCCACGTTGTGTTTAGTAAACAACCTCCAGCTGAACACCACAAAAACCAAAGAACTTATCCTGGATTTCAGGAAGGGTAGAGCAGACCCGCCCCCACTTTACTTCGTGGGGACTGTGTGGAGAGGGAGGGTACACTGCTCCATGATGTTTGGGCGTGCAGATCTCTGGTGGTCTCTCCTGGACTGCAGATACCACGGTGGTGGTATAATAGGCTCAGCAACGTCTCACTTCCTGAGAGTGCTCGGGAGGAACGATCTAGAGGAGAGGCTGCTGATCACACAGACAGCGTCCTAGCGTAAGGCATCCCAGGTGCTGCAGCAGCAGAGGGTCATCAGCACAGCCCAGAAGATCACTGGCTGCTCCCTGCCCAGCCTGGAGGACATCGCCAACTCTCGTTACGTCAGCAGAGCAGGCGACATCACCGAGGACCACTCTCGCCCCATTAACCAGCTGCGTGCAGCTACAGGTCACGTAAAACCAGGACAAAGAGATTCAGGGATAGCTTCTTTCCCAGAGCGCTCACCGTAGTAAACAACAACAAAACCAGATGGTCCTGTCAACCCCGACCACACATGTACTGATCACGTGCATTAACATAATACGTGTTCTTTGAGTTTACTCAACATGCTAACATTCAGCACCGAGCCCGACTGATGCTGCTACTCTGTGTGTGTATTTGTACATATACCTGTTGATTTTACGTTTATATTTGTTTTCTTGTATTCTTTTATTATTTGCATCAAAGGGCGTGGCCGTACCTGCACAACGACAATAAGGGCGGTTTTTATTCTATTCTATTAAAGAAAACACATGAAAATTCGTAGCCGACGCGTCCTGAACGAGCCGAGCCTTCAGACCTCCTTTGTGGCAGTTGCTGAAAACCAGCAGATGACGACGTGCGGTGAAACGTGTGGAAGAATCTTGAGTTAATAATATTAATAATGAAGAGAAACGGGAATGTTTACATCCAAACTGAAGGACTTTCCTCTGGTTTCCCGATAAAACGGGTGACTTGCTAACCAGCTGCGGGGTTTGCAGGCTCTGGAAGTGATCCGGCAGCTGAAGGAGACCATGCAGATCCAGAGGGCCCACATGAGGCTGCGGCTGGTGCTGCCGGCCAAAGAGGCCAAGAGGCTGAAGGAGAAGCTCAAACCTCTCCTGCAGGTGGTGGAGAGCGAGGACTTCGACGAAGAGCTGGAAATGGTGGGTTCCTCTTTAGATCGCAGCTGAATAGGAGCCGTCTCCACTTTTTTTCTGTGAAATCCCGACTCTGACCCTCCTCTCACCTCAGGTGTGTCTGGTGGATCCCGGCTGCTACAGGGAGATCGATGAGCTGATCCGCTGTGAGACAAAGGGTTGCGGCTCTCTGGAGGTCCTCAGCCTGAAGGACGTCGAGGAGGGAGACGAGAAGCTCTGAAACCTCTGGACTCTTGACCTTCTGCACACTAACACGTTTACTCCTAAAGCAGACGTTTCTGGTGCCATCCTCGCGGCTTTCATCCGTTCTTGCTGCAGCCGTGAGTGACGAGAGCAGGATTAGAGGAGGCCGGTAGATAACTCTGACCCGAAGTCTTTTATTTACTTACATTACTTTTGTGTCTCCATCTGCTCTTGTGGCCAAATTCAGCATGGTGATTACTTCTGAGTTAAAAATGAGCCTTTTTTGTGTCTAATAAACACAGATCTGCACAAGTCGAATGGACAGAACATTAAAGCTAACACGTCCAACAAAAGAGGCTTACTGTTGGTGTTTCTCTGGTGCTCAGGAAGAAAAAACAACCGCAGACAAAACGTGGATTTATTAGCAAAGAGTCACAAAACTACAGAGTCCTGAAGAAAAGAAGCTTTTGGTGAAAACGTGTCAGAAAGTGAAAGCAGAACGAGTGTTTTATGGCTCCTGGTGTTAAACACGCGTGATGATGGACGAGTGTGTGTTCTGACAGACGTCGTTTATGTTTACATTTTAGGAATCGTGAGGAAAAAATGTTCGATTCAAAGTTTAAACATTTCTGTGTGAATAAAAAATCCAGAGTGGAGAAACAAAGCAGACGTTTCGTGTCTGAGGATCCCGTCTGACGGGTTTCACACCCGTTTCGTCGCCGCTTCCTCCTTTAAGTGCAGAGCCTGAGCAGCGGCTGGTTCCAGGGGTCACGAGGTCGTGTTACAGACAGACTTCCAGACATTCCCGTTGTCAGTCAGGATGAAATGACCAGACGTACGTGGAGGGCTTTCCACGTGGGGTCAGATGGGGTCAGACCTGCGTTCGTACTGGCTGTGTGTGAAGGTAGTTCTGTTGATCCGGCCCAGCGGGTGACTCTCTTCATCCTCTGCGGTTCTGTTGTCCTGCTGCTCCGCCTGCTCCCCAGCGGTGGGACACCTGGTGGTGAGAAACACTCCACCGGCCAGCATCAGGGCCAAGGAGATCCATCCCAGGTACAGAGCTGGTCCCCAGGCTCTCCTCATCAGGATGCCGCCCTCTAGTGGCTGGCTGGTGTGGTGACACGTCCAGGCTGTGGGAACCAGCAGCAGGATTCCTGCCACAACAAACAAACTACCAGAAAAGACTTTGATCTGACCTCGCCTCGGGAACCACACCATCCCCACTCCTCCGATCACGGCTGCAAACCCCCCCGCTCCGATGGCCGCCGCGATGAGGGCTCTCCATGTGCGGAAGCTCCCAGACAGGTACATGAGGGACTGGTAGAAGGAGCAGTGCAGGCTGCCATCGTGGGCCAAATCCCAGTGATCCCATTCCAGCCACACCCCATCCCAGTAGGCAGGCAGAGTCGCGGTGATGTTGTCCGTAGAGCCGCTCACCGTCCACAGGGCCAGGCAGCGCGTCAGTATGGCAGCCAGCCACCCCGTCAGGGCCACAGCAAAGCCAGCGAGCTCCAGCAGCCTCCTCATGCCTCGTCCTCCTCCCCAGTGCAGACCCGGCTCCCAAACCAGGAACCGCTGGCAGGAGAGGCCGGCGGGGCGGGGCGTTGGTTTAAAGCTCACACGTGAGGCAGCAGCAGTGTCGTTTGCATGCCCGTTCAACCAGTTCTGTGGTATTCCTGAACAGAAGGCTCTGGCTGCAGCTGCAGCTGGGTGGCGGAGGGAAGTCCCTCGGTTCGCTCCGCCGTGGTTCCAAAACAATCCTCGGATTCTGCTCCAGCGGGAAAACAAAGCTTCCTCTGTGCTCTCCTCCTTCAGCTGCACTGATCTGACCCAAAACCACACACACACACACACGTTAGTTATTGCTCAGAACCGGTCTGGAAAGTCAGCCGGCCCGATTCCAGACACAAGTTCTTACTGGTGCCGGTTCGTCTGATCTCCAGACGACGGGATGAGTCTCGTGAGGAGCTGCTGGGCTGAGACGGGCTGCAGGAACAGAACCACGTCACACACGTGCAGGATTCAGCTTTTATTTGAGCAGAACAAACGCTACAGACAACGAGCCGGAAACAAACCGCTTCAAACGGGACTAGAGTAACTCTCCAAGTCAGTAAACGTTCACCAGGTTCAAAACGTGTCGTCAGACGTTCTTTATGAAGTTGAGTCTGGCGTTTAAAACCTCGTTAAGAGTTAAACAAGCAGAGGTGAGTTCCTGCAACGCGTCGGTGTGTTTTTAGTCCAACCTGACCTTCCTCCTCCTGAACGGCCTTTGTTTGGAGAAATAAAGCTGACATCTTTTTGGACTGATATGCTAATGGCTAGGCTCAGTGTGTCACTATCTTCTTTAAAGAGCAAGTCACCCCCTACCAGAGTATTACTCCACTCCCACTTCCTGTTTACTTGCTTTGATTCCTCTTGAACTAAAAAAGTGCTGAACTGAGATCCTGCTGACTGATCAGAACGACTCCACACAACCACACTCTAAAGGACTTCTCATCCCGGGATCATCCCTAAGATCGTTTGGGGCTTAGGAAAAGGCCTGGGATTGTTTAATGATGGAAAACTGAAATGTATAAATAAAACTTATTGAGATGAACTAGTAGAGCTCTAGCACAGCCTTCCTGCAACGTGGTCATCTCTGATGTCACACATAGTTCTTGATGGCATAGCTGCTTTGTGGGGGGGTCTTGGCTCGTGTGTACCCACTGGAGGGGAATCTGGACCCCTGCGGGGGGCAGCTCAGACACAGCATGACCCCTCCACAAAACAGCAGCCCAGACGTTACAAAGCCAATGTAAATCGCTGCTCCCAGCTCTCTCTTCAGCACCTCGGGGACTCGGGGGTTGTGAAAATCCCTGATGATGTTGTTGGCGGTCCAAGAAACCGCGACTATGGTGGTGAGGGCTGCTAAACAGAAGATGGCCCCTGACCCCAGCACCACCCGCGCTTTGATCCGAGGGTGTCTCAGGCAGTTGGTGCAACGGGCTCCCAGCAGGAAGATGAGGAATCCCAGACATCCCAGAAACAGACTGATGCAGATAAGTCCTCGAGCAGCCTGGAGGTCCGGCGACAGGTCCATCAGAGCGTCGTAGAGCTTACACTGCATCTGACCAGTGTACTCGCTGACACACGTCATCCACAAACCCTCCCAGAACACCTGCATGACCACCAGATGGGTGCCGATGAATGCGGTGACCTTCCACATAGGCAGACCGCAGATAAGCATGGAGCCGGCGACGCCCATCATGGACAGGGTGATGCCCAGCACCTGCAGAGCCATGGGAGACGGGGAGGACGTCCACGCCGCCTGAAACACAAACATCAGCTGTGTGACTTATCTTCAAACCAAGCCCCCACAATGCGGGTGAAAATTTGAAGCAAACGCGGAAGTGAAATAAATTGCAGTTCCACCCTCATCCACTAGGGGCTGGTGTCAGAAGCGAGCAAATCCTCATTGACTCCCATGTTAAAAAATACCAATTTCACAGCAGAAATAAACATGTTTACAGCCTGGTACCAGAACATGTTTTAGGTTTAAATGATCTAGTTTACACTCATGACAACTCTGAGGGGGGTGAATGTTTTTCTCACTCTTCTGTTTAGGTGTATTAAAAGCCTAAAATTCTGTATAATTAATGAGCATCAGACCCACGTGACCACAGAGCTAGCTCCGGGAAAGGCCTCAGTAGAGCCTCGGTCTGGCCTGGAGACTGTTCCGGGATTTTGAGTCTCTGTGTGTGTGTATTCTTTTTTGGATATTATTTGTACAATTGTTGGACAAAATGACTTGCTGTGGCATTAATTGCACTAATAGAGCGTCCAAGGAGTCTCCACTTCATTTTTTTCGGTAAGTAAAATTATATTTATGTATTTTAGGTCACTGCCGAGCTGAGCTTAGATTTTAACATGTACTGTTTAACCATGACATTTAAATGTAATAGGGTAAAACCCAGTGCATTTAACATAAAGCTGCACTTTAGAAAATGGGTTGAAATATAACATGTTGGTGGAGCTGGGTTCCCACTATCGGCTTGTGGAGCTCTCGGGAGACCTCTGTGTTCCACCCGGTTTTACCCAGCGGTCAGCCCGGCGTATCTCTGACTCAGAAGCTCTGGTGTTGTGCACAGTTAACTCCGGTTGTAGCTAGGTTGCTACCTCCGTTAGCTTAGCTCCCACCTCCGCGTTAGCTTTGGGTTAGCTTGTAGCTAGTTCGACCGGGTGTCGTCAGTTGATCCCAGCCTTACAGCCCCACCCTCAGCTCCACCTCTCTTCCCTTTTGTGGAATTATCTGGGCTTGACGGAACCTGTAACACGGTCAATATGGCGGTGGTGGCCACCTCCCATTTAGCCTCAAAAACGTGTTATTGGAGCCTACGGAAACCCATTCTTTAATATTTATACGTCGATGCTTCAAACTCATGAAGCTGACTGAACACGAGCCACATGGCTACGATTAGCTGTGGCGGCCATCTTTAATCAGATTGACTCCCGTTGTATGTGCTGTAGACGCTAGCCCAACGATGACTTGGCAAATCAGCTTTATTTGTGTAGTGCCTTCATTCACGTCTTTTCCATTAGCAAGAACAGCACAAGCTTTGAAGCTAAGCTAACAGCACAACTAAAATACACTAATTAACTTGGATCTAATGAAATAAAACACTATTTAGATTTAAGAAGGAGAAAAAGAAAGAAAGTGAAAGGGTGAGCAGTTACAGTGCAGAACATTCATCCAAAGGCTGATGAAAACATGAAGGTTTCTAGAGCTGGGGCCCATCTGAGGTGATGAGGAAGCTGATTCCATCTGTGAGCAGCATAGTAGCTAAAAGCAGCTTCACCTGTTTGGTTCTGACCCGGTTCTACCAGCTGACTGCCCTGCTGGGGGTAAACACCTGAAGGAGACATGTGTTCTGGCGCCACGCCGCTGAGTGATGCATGAGGGATTCTGTAGTTTACTGGTAACCAGGAGTGATGGGAGCTTTACTCAGATCCATCCAGTGGTTCATCAGTTTTGTAACGAACAGTTGCTGAGGACATTCACCTGCAGCGGCCATCTTGGATTACTCTGACGTCAACAGTTAAGCGGTTTTAGATGCTCATGACTTCCTGTCAGTTTTACCCTAACATGTGAGATTTAGTCTGATATCAGACACACAGTCACCCACATCCATCCATCGGGTCGCGGGGCAGCAGCCCAACAGAGGGGCCCAGACTTCCCTCTCCCCGGCCACTTGGGCCAGCTCCTCCGGGAGAATCTGTCCTTCAGCATGTCCCGAGTCTTGCTTTAGGTCTCTTCCCACCTCATCAGGTAGGCATCCAGGAGGTATTCTGACCCATTTCAACTGGCTCCTCTCGATGTGGAGGAGCAGCAGCCTTTCAACTGAGCTTCTCGTCCTTTCTCCATGAGAGGGCCGAGATTTCACGTTCTGACTCGGCTCTCTTCACCACGACAGACCGGTACAACGGCCGCATCGCTGCAGACGCGGCACCAATACGCCTATCGATCTCCTGCTCCATCTTTCCCTCACTCACAAGACCCTGAGTTACTTAAACTCCTCCTCTTGGGGCAGGACCTCATCCCTGACCCGGAGAAGGCATCCTACCCTTTTCCGACTCAAGACCATGGTCTCAGATTTAGAGGAGCTGATTCTCATCCCAGCTGCTTCACACTCGGCTGCAGACCGCTCCAGTGAGAGATCGGGTTCTGATGAAGCCAACAGGACCACATCTGCAAGAAGCAGAGACCTGATCGTCAGGCCACCTCGACACCTTGGCTGCTCCTAGACATCCTGTCCATAAGAGCTACGAGCAGGATCGGTGGCAAAGGGCAGCCTTGGCGGAGTCCAACTTACTGCCGGCAACGTGGACCAAGCTCTGACTCCGGTCATACGGCGACCGCGTCAGAGGGCCTGGTACTCGTCATTCATCATACTTCAGGATGAAAAATACTAACAGAACTAAATCACCAGATTTATGTTTAAAACTGTTGGGAATGAGACACTTTTTAATGCGTGATTTATTTAGAACATCCAGACCTTTTAGGGGTTTTCAGTAACTGATTGCTTTAATAAATCACTGTAAACTAAACCAACCAAACAGAAAACATCTTCTTGTCCTTGAAGAACAGATGTGCGAGCAGCTTCCAGCTGTGTCCATCGAGGTCCAACAGCTGGAAGCCTGAGCAGATTTCAGCCAGACTCGGGTTTTTAAAAAGGCTCAGCTCATCGGCTGGTTTTAGTCGTGCGGCCACCAGAGGGCAGTGTGACAGAACTGTTGGTTAGGATGAGAATCTGAAGAAGTTAGAGAAAAATTTCTCTTCTAATCTAGTTTCAGATCAGCTGTGGCAGGATTTTTGGTTTTCACGTTTCCACCTGCACGGGAACCTGTTGGGAAAGTTCGTGTTGAACAAATCAGTTCAGAGATTTTAAAATGAACTCGTTCAGCTCGTAGTTCACCGTTCCAAAGAGAACTAGTTCACGTTCTGTTTTCCACATGCTGCAGCCAGGGGCGAACCCATCGTCTCAGAAGTGAGGAGGACCGTGACGAAGCGTTTCATCAGTGTTAACAGTGGTCCGGAGACAGTTATTAATATAATTTCTATTAATAAGATGACTGGTGCACAACCTGCTCAGCAGGAACGAATGAGAAAGTGTGAATATTAGCGGGCTGCATGGTCTCTGCCCTGACTATAAAAATAAAGCTAAATAATGTTTAGAAATAAGAATAATTGTGAAAGAACAGTGAACCCTGTCCTGATGCCTGTCCTGACCCTCCACGTCCCTGCTGCTGTCCTCCGTCTCACCTCCTCCCTGACGCGGCTCTATTGTGGAAACTGGAAAACAAAATGTGTCGCAGCGGAAGAAATTAACCTCAGAGTGATTTTTGTCTCAGCCCCTCTTCTCATCTGCAGACCTTTCAACGACACAATCTATACCTCGAAGGATTCAGGCAGCTCTGAAGGAAAAAGGGGTCAAGAGGACAGTATCTGGTGTGGGTTAATGTAGCCTAGCTTATTCTCTCTCTCTCTCTCTCTCTCTCTCTCTCTCTCTCTCTCTCTCTCTCTCTCTCTCTCTCCTCTCTCTCTCTCTCTCTCTCTCTCTCTCTCTCTCTCTCTCTCTCTCTCTCTCTCTCTCTCTCTCTCTCTCTCTCTCTCTCTCTCTCCTCTCTCTCTCTCTCTCTCTCTCTCTCTCTCTCTCTCTCTCTCTCTCTCTCTCTCTCTCTCTCTCTCTCTCTCTCTCTCTCTCTTAAAATCAACATGACAGAAAGTACACAGAAATTAAATTTTGATTTAAAAATGAAAAGAAAGGTACTAAGTTAAAGGGCGAGCGCTCCTCCGTGAGAGCATGGGGGGGGGGGGAGGGGGGTTCGTGTCAGCGGCGGCCCGCCAGGCTTATCTGCGCTGGAGGAAACCCTGAAGACCAATGCAATAGTCCAGCCTGCTGGAGATGAACACATGAATGTGCTTCTCTAGGTCCGGTCTGGACATGAGACCTCTGAGTCGTGCTGTTTGATGAAGATGATAAAACGCTGATCTGGTTATATATCCAGAGTAGGGTTGTCACGGTGTGAAAATGTAACCTCACGGTTATTGTGACCAAAATTACCACGGTTTTCGGTATTATCACAGTATTTTTTTAACGTGCTACATTTTCAGACAACTACATAAACCCTGTATGTCAGGAAAATATTGTCCTCAGTTTGTGTCTAAATTTAGCCTAAAATGTGTTATTTTGTAATTATGTTGTTTA